TAATGTATATATATGAAATGGATTAATGGAAAATCTATATGTTAATACTACAAACACTTTTAGTTAATGTTCATAAACACAGAGAAAGTTCCAGACATCATACAGGGTAAATAATAATTCATACTAACATCAAGCATGACTCTTCATGGCCGCTCACACTTTAACGTTCATGTCAGCGTCTCCTCAGAGTTTCCCAAGATAATTTCTCTAAAACTAAGAGTCTTTCCCTGGAAACTCCATGAATACTAATGCCGCGCTCTCTAAGCCCCCACTAATGCCTTTTCTGGAATACTCCTTGCCCTTTGATAGGATTAGAGTTGTGTGTTTAGCACGATAAAAATGAATGGTGCCCAAAAGTGCAAAGGCTGCATTCATGGGCCAGCCTTGACCAGAATTTAAAAGGAGGAGATATCAATTGGGGACGAAGATCAATTTGAGCACTTTCCCTAATAATGTAAATGACAGTAAGGGAAATTATATGAATCAGTCATGGAGGATGACTTCGTTTTGGTTGCAATATTAATCATTTTTAGGTCAAACATGACTTTAAGTGGAGTGGAGGGATAAAAGAATTTTGTCACGGTATGATGAAATATATTAATTTATAAATTCTGAAATTTAGAGTAATAATGGCAATGGGGATGTATACGTACTTATCAATGCTGTGCTATGCATTTCCTTGAACCAGCTTCTGTTTCCAAGATATTCCCACATTTTGAAACATAACATTTGCTAATTATTTCTGTCACCATCAAGACGTTTTCAAAATTGTGATTTAAATCAGCTGTTTGCAAGAAGAATATAATCTAAAAACAAAAAATATTCATGTTAACTGAATGGCAGCATGTTTCTGAGCCGCTTCTTTTGTTTCCTGATGAGCTTAACGACCTTTGGAGCAATAAAACCACCCACATGTCATTACCACTTTTCCTTTACAAATACTGTTATTGGCCCCGCTTGTGCATGCGGAGGAGTAGTGGCGCCTCTCCACCGCAGCACTTTGCACTAATGAAAAGGTGTTGTGCTCAGCCCAGGATGTGTTGAAAGAACACAACCTTTTGATAGATCTCTGGCACAGCTCGTGCATGAGGACGGGCCGCCTCCTCCGGTACGAGGAGGAGAGGCGCCGCTGCCAAAAACAAAGTCCCAGCGATGTGATTGATGTCGCTGCACCACAACCTCCAGGCAAAAGCTCAATCTGGGTAAGCTGCTCGTTGTCCTGCTGGAAGCACCGCTACCAACAATTTGCTGATGGAGTCTGGAGGAGTGAACATGATGATGTCTCAGTATCCTTTACAGGGTTCTGTTGTTTTCCGAGGGCCTTGAAAGTCGAGAGAATTCACCTTTAGAGTTTTATTGATTTTGTCTTTTTTGTTGATGCTTTTATTTAAGTAAAACATTTGGCTGAAATATTTCAGATCCAATCAAGAAGCTTCGGACCAATATGGCATAACTGCAACCATAATTCATCTATCAGTTAATGCACTGGTGTCAAAATCAGGGATCCTTCATGATTGAAGTCTCTGAACCTAAAGCATCCGGATTAGCTTTCCGACGGTGTCACTGAAATCCCAGGGACGGTTTGGATTTGGCTGCCTCACTGCTGCACATTGGCTCATTCACACGGCATCCCGACGCAACTTGCCAGAAAAGAGTTTTTCTCCCTCCCTTAAAACTTTTCAAATCAGTGGAGAGAGCAAATTATTCTCTATCAACCTTGACCAGCTGTAAAAAAAAAAAAATCCAGCAGTGGGACAAGAATGCTGTTGCCAACTGAAAAACTGAGCTTGGTTTAACACACACACACACACACACACACACACACACACACACACACACACGCCAAATATGTAGTTATAAACCTCTCTGCATTGCAAAAAACAACAAAATGGGGATGCAATGACAACGTGAGTGTGGTGGAAATTAGTGGATGATGCCCTTGTGAGAAATCATATCTTAAGCTTCGTGATTAAGTATTTATTGCAGAATAGCATATAGAAACATAATAAAGGTACACGAATCATCAAACACAAGCCATAAGTACAGACAGATGACTGTCTCAATGACTCAATCCAGCTGAAAAGGGACAGAGTGTCCCGTCCCCATTAGAGGAGCAGGACGACCTGACAAGCTTTTAATAAACATCGGAGGTCCACATTGTCCAAACAGAAGGATGACGCCGTACTGGGAAGGTGTTACAGGAAAACACGCTGGAGACTTCACGTCAGTTTCTCTTACATTGGGACCCCATCTGATCAACTCTATGGTGAACCTTGACCCCCAAAAGACAAGAAAAAAATCTTAATACATTACCACAAAATTGGCATTGGCGGACATGAATCAAAATTTTGAACTACTATAGTGTGCATCCACTCCCCCCCCTCGATTCACAGTGTAGCGTTTGGCAGCACGCCACATTCATCGCCAGGCTATAATGGGAAGACGGTCTTATTGACCACTAGTCCAATAGGACATAGGGGCCGGACATACAAATCAAAGCTGTCCAGCCTCATATTGACCAAACTGTCCCCGTGAAACGGGATTCATTTGCCACGTGAGGGGGAAGGACGCAGGGGGAGGGGGGAGGCTGTGTGGGGGAGGGGGGGGTGGGGTAGGTATGGGGGTCGTAGCGCAGGAAGTAAGAAGGGATTTAATTCCGCTCAGACCCGCATGCAATGATGCTTGAACGTGTATTTAAAGGGCAAGACTCCCGTTGTTAGTTTAATCCTTGCGAGTAATCCGTCACAGTGGACCAGACTACAGTGTCCTGATGGAAGAGACGTCTGGGTGGAGGTTCAGGTGTAGAGCAGTGTGTGCATGAGTGATGGAGGTGTCAACTAATGAAGAAAAATGTAATTTTGACGGGTTCCGGGGTGAGATGAATGTGCACTCTGCTGCCTAGGGAGTCTTTTGGAAAAGAATCATCTACGTGGTGAACTGAGCCTGCACTCTAGCAGGAGTCAACATGTTTGCTGAGAAAAGGCCTGTTTGTCGTCATGCTTAATTTGAGCTATTCGAAGCAAACAGTAATTCAAAGATGATCCGATCAGAGCCCGTTTCCACTTTTCTAAGTGCAGATACTAACTCCTTCTTGAAAAGCCTGGATTCAAGAGCACACCCTCATCACATCTGAGCTATGTGTATACCAGCTCCGATCGCTGTTTATTTTACAAAGAACTTAAACTCTGTGTTTCCAATGGAGACAGCAGTGCTAATTTGTTTTACTTTTGCCTGAAGTCTGGGATTGGGTTGGATTTACAGAAATACGATCCAGACCATCACAAATACAAAGACTTACTGTATTTATTTTAGGAAGAGGAGTGGGCCGTGACTGCCCCCTACCGGGCAGAGTAGTGAAGAGCATGATGGCGTGCAGCATGAAAGGTGAAATATTACACATGGGGAAAATGTAATCAGTACTTCTGAAGCACTTACACTGTGTTGCCTTTACATATAGATTTCTGTTAAAGTAGGCCGATACGTTATGGGGCTTCTTGTGGGTCATGGGCAAAGACACAAATGAATGTTTATATAGCAGAAAATCCATTGGAAAATAACAAGTAATTAAGGTTTGCAGGGAAACTTTAAAACGATAGACTACTCATCCTCCAATCGATCACGGATATAATAATTAGGATAATAATAATGCTATAGATATGGCGTCTTCAAAAACATAGTTCACAAAGTGCTTTGACAGACACAAGCAGTTTAACAACAGAAAACCGAACAACATAAAACGTAAAGGTCAACAATTCTAAAACTCAGTAATCAGTCAAATAAATAATTTAAATAGAAAGCCAAATAAAAGTAATACAAGTCAAGATAAAAAGAAAATCAAATGGCATGAAATTGAAGTCGATGAAGGATTTTAATAATTTACATTTTAATATTTTAACAAACAATTTAACATTCACCATCACAATGATAAACCCTAATGATGACAAACCCTCACAATGATAAACCCTCACGATGATAAACCCTCACGGGGATAAACCATCATGATGAAAGCCCCTCATGATGATAAACCCTCATAATGATAAATCGCCACGATGATAAGCCCTCATAATGATAAACCGCTACAATGAAAAATAGAATACTTTTTGATTTTTGAATTTAAGCAAATTAACTCATTCGATTCCTCGTTTCCGGCCGGGACGAGAACAAAGGAGTGAGGCCTCCCTCGAGGGCTTTCCGAACCCTTAACCATATAAACCATCATGATAAACCCTCATGATGATAAACCCTCACGAGGATAAACCATCACGATGATAAACCCTCACGAGGATAAACCATCATGATAAACCCTCGCGATGATAAACCTTCACGATGATAAACCCTCACGATGATAAACCCTCATGATGATAAACCCTCACGATGATAAACCATCATGATGATAAACCCTCATGATGATAAACCCTCACGATGATAAACCCTCATGATGATAAACCCCCACGAGGATAAACCATCATGATGATAAACCCTTGCGATGATAAACCCTCACGATGATAAACCATCATGATGATAAACCCTCATGATGATAAACCCCCACGAGGATAAACCATCGTGATGATAAACCCTCACAATGATAAACCCTCATGATGATAAACCCTCACGAGGATAAACCATCGTGATGATAAACCCTCACGATGATAAACCCTCATGATGATAAACCCTCACGAGGATAAACCATCGTGATGATAAACCCTCACGATGATAAACCCTCACGAGGATAAACCATCATGATGATAAACCCTCCCGATGATAAACCCTCATGATGATAAACCCTCACGATGATAAACCCCCCTTTCACTGCGGAGCAGCGCGTCAGCAGAGCTCTCATTCATGGATAAACATGCTTCGCGTCTGGCAGCAGACGACCCGGAGGAGCGAGCGGGGCGAAGCCACAACGCAGAGCTCCCATCACCAGTAAGCCCGAGTCGCTCCCTGTCTTTATTTATTTTTGCTCAGCCGAAGGACGTCGTTCGCGTTCCCGTGTGCGTATTTCAGCCTTTGTTGTTGTTGTTGTTGTTGTCGTCGTCGCTGTTTTCCATTTGGCCTGTAACGATGACAGAGCCGCGTGGCTCCGCGTGCCCGTGGTGTTCATTAACTGCGCCTCAACCCTCATTCCGTGCGGATTCCCTCGTTTGAGCCCGTCGAGGTGGAAAGATGACTCAACGTAGCAGCCTTCAGCCGCTGATGCAGTGATTTATAGGAGGCCTCGGGTTTGCGCGCAGCGCGTTCGGTGCCAGCGCGTCAATAACAGTCAGACCTAATTAGCGTCTAACTCGCTTTAAGCGCGCTCTGTAAAGCCAAAATGCTATTGATCTGTCATGGATCTGTGGTTAAGGCTGTCGATCCGGTTGGTCTGTAATTGTTTTTCAAGCCGTATTGATTTGCAGTGCTATTCAAAAAGAGCAGACCAGAGGTCTCTAGATAGGTAAAAAAAAAAAGATAGTTCTTTAGCTGCTGTAGTGCACGTGTGATACAATAAACTAGGACGCCATGTGTAGAACAATAGAGCAGAGAGCATACGCATCAAGGCCATTTACGCCACAAAAGGGTTGGTGATTCATCTCGATTAGACAGAACAAAGTTGTAATTATAGAGGGTCGGACTTCAATTGACTGGGAAAATTGCACCAGGATGCATTCCTCCTTGCCTCTGCGAGGCTCACAAGTGACTAGCTGACCCTTTTATAAGCAGGATGGTGCCTTCAAGTGCTGGTGGAGAAGTGTAGACGCGATTGAGGGACACCAGGGACCAGTTCGCCTTCTCCTTGAAGGATAGAAGTCACTGGAGCCAGATCTTAACAGGATGCTACGTTCTTCTCAAAGCTCTGTGCTGTAAGTATCATATGTTTGTGCTGGTTATAATCTAAATTGTCTGGACAAATGTACAGAATTGGAAGTTACTTTGTTTTATTTTGTTCCTAAGATGTCTAACTGACCCCAAACATCGAGAACACATGAATACTTCTGTCTAGTGGGGAAACATTTCACTTCACTCAGTAAATACCGCAGCTTCCGATCACTTTACCACCATAAGTGTAAAGCAGGTTTTTTTTTATTTTGCCTCCAGCTGGAAGTGAAGGTGCCCTGAGGCGGAGTCATGGGCTGTGGGGGGAGCAGGACCGATGCTCTGGAGCCCCGATACCTGGAGAGCTGGACCAAAGAGACGGAGTCGACGTGGCTGACCAGCACGGACACCGATATCCCCCTGTCGTCCATCCAGAGCATCCCCTCGGAAAACTCTGAGGCCGGCTTCGCTTCGGAGAAAACAATCAGCCCCGGTACGAAGAGTGGACCTCGACTGACGGATGAGTGAACACTTAATTGGGTTCCTCTCAGGAACGGGCAGTAGTTTAATCATACGGTTGTATGATTGAGCACTCAATTAGGTTTTCCCCCACAGAGCACATCTTCTTATGTTCTCTAGTTAATATTCATCTTCATTTTATGATCTGAATCATTTGAAAGAATAATTTGACTGCGTTATCAATGAATGGCCTCTCTGTACACTGACAGCATCTTTCTGAGGCACGACTCATTTCAACAAGAAGCCACACTGAGACTCGAAATGAAGACGTGAAACAGCCGTGGTGACCCTCATGATGAGGATGTGTGCCAGACTAAGCATTTGTTCTTTTAGGGTCCAGTTAGAAAAAGATTGATCCGACTATGATTCCGCTGTCCTCCGGTGCTCTGAATTATAGGTGTGGTTTTTTCTTTGAAGCCTCAGGGGAAATTCATCAGTAAATGGACGTAATCAAAAGCCGCTGTGCTGAGTCGGGTCGCCATGGCGACCGATGCCGCAGATAGTGAATCCAAGCAGAAGTGTCTTGATCTAATTGGAAGGCATATTCGTCTTCCATTCTGCAGATAAAAGAGGTCCAGAATTGGCTAAATTAATTTAAAAAAAGAACATGAATATTCCCAGATTATGTGAATAATCACCAAAGTAGTCCACCTGATAATGCCAAAATTATTACTGCTATTACTGTTACTGTCAACCACGACTAGATGACTCTAAATCTTCCGTCTTTCTACTAAAGTCGCCTTTGTTATCTGATAGGGTTGATTAATAGCTCCCTCATGTGTACATACATATTTTAGCTCCATTCATCTGTGAGAGACGGAGACCCTGTTGATGAACACTGATGAAAGCCCACCCGCCCCCCCCCAGACGCCCGACACACACCACGCTGACCTTTTCCTTTGGTCCCAGTTCCAGATTTCTTCGAGGACGGCCTCCCTCTCCCGGCTCAGGCGTACCTGAAGGTCTGTTCGGCCGTGCCTGAGGCCAGTCTGAACGACGTGACGCCCGCCGGCCCCCCTGCCGCACCGGGTACTTCTCCACCCAAAGAGGCGGCGTCGCCGTCCGCCGGCACCACGGTGCAGCGCAGGAGTGTTCTACACACTGAAGAGATTGTGAGACTCCTGTTGTTATACGTTAAGTAATTAGTTTATATCATTTGTTGTCATGTTTCAGTAGTAAAAGTAGTTTTCAATTGCTCCTCTAATGTAAAGTGTTGATGCTTCTCTTTGGGCACAACATAGAGATCATTTATTCTGCAGATTTATTGAAGATAAAAATAGCATAACATCTGCTTCTGTGGTTAAATACATGAATACACTATATATATATATATATATATATATATATATATATAGCAGATGTAGAATAATGAAAAAACAACTCAAAGCTCAATTGCTCCTTTCTGATGCCACAATCTTAGTCCCGTATTTGACGATGTCCCATCTTCCATCATCAGACAAAGTGGCAGGACAATCGGATGTCGACCAAGCAGGTGACAATCACAGTGACTCAGAGCATCCATCGGGTGGACAGGAACGGGAAGGTGAAGAAGTCCCTCACCACCTACGAGGTCATGAAACCCGTGGAGAGCCTCAAACAGGTGGCCGCGCAGAACGCTCGAGCTCAGCGAAACTAACTGAACGTCACTGTGAAACGTGGGGAACCGCTGAAAGCACAAGGAGCTACAAGTTGGGTGATATTGGAAGTACAGCTCGTTCTAATAAGAACTAAAGGAACACGGAGGCCGTGGAGGGCTTTCATTCTGTGAAACGCACGTCATAAATAAATATAAAGAAAACACCTACGCTGACATTTTACAGTGTCAGTCCAAAAATAAATGAAGAAATTCATGGTTCATCACAGAAGACACTTCTGGGCACAGTTCAAATTTCACTCGAAGCTAAAATGCCTTTTTTGCTGCTAATTTATGAAGCTTTTGAGGACAAATATAAAAGTAAAACCAATGCTACAGCTACACATATAGTTTGGTTATTTGACATTGATACTTATACCATGTAGTTGCTGCTGCACTACAACCTCAATGGTTGTACTATTGACGGCGAGGCCGGGAAAGGAGCTTGTGACGACAATGTAAAACATTGTCTTTCTTTCTTTTGTCGCTTTGTACAATACAGTATTGCATTTTCTTATCTAGATGTTTTCTAATGACAATAAATCCAACCAAAACATTAATGAACCTTCTTTCAAATGATTTCACAAGCTGTATATTTGTTCAAGGAAAAATTGGTTTTACTTGACAACAACACGGGATGAACAAGCGATAAATAATAAACATTCACTTTTGTGGGATCATCAAACATATTTATACAGCACGCGAAATATTGGAAAATCTCTCTGGGAAGTGTCATTTGTGTAAAGCTGCGGATTAACAATTGCAGCGGCTCCGAGTGGTCCTTTCGGGGATCAGAGTCAGTTCTGGGGTCCGCTTTGCAATGAAAGTGTGTGAATCTTCTTCTGAGGGTTGTAACGTATTCGTCCCGATCGAAACGATGGCTCCTCCTTCTCCATCCACTCCCCCGCGCAGAAGTCCGGGAAGAAGAACCGGATTTCTCTTTGTGCCGACTCAACGGAATCTGGGGAGAATTGAGATGAAACCCGGTGAACGATTTGAAAAGGTCGCAACGTGTGCGCGACGCGACAGCCCACATCCACGTACGGCGTGCTGACAAAACACTCCCCCTACCGGCGCCGTGAGCCGTGTTCCGCGTGTCTGTGAGTCCAAACTGAGCCCTGATACTATCGGGCGAGGTGTATCTGGCTCGGAACACTTTGGTCGGCCCCATCAGCTCTCTCCACTGACGTATGGCGTCCACCCGGGCCAGAACGTAAGCTCGCATCGGGCCGCTGCGGGAACAGAACCAGCGCTGCTTTGAGTGGTCAAGATATGAACGAAACCCACGTGAGACGCTAGCGTGCGGCTGTTGCAAACGTTCACATTGTAGACAAAAATAATAATGTTAATTCTTTTTGCAATGCAGCGATCCACGTGGAGCTATCGTGAGAATTCTACGTGGATATTTTCGGACAAATCGCTCGAGGTCTGCTGTCAAATTATTAGTCAGTGATTTTCTGAGGATGAAATCATAGCTTGTTCTGCGTCAGCCCTCCGGGCAGTAACGTGGGACGGGGGATTTCTCTGTCGTTCTGTTTCAAGACACATCCGACGCAACACATCGTTTATCCAAAGGGTTTTGGGAGATTGTTCAAGCACGGTAGCTCACTTACCTTGACATGAATTCAACAAGCCTCTGGTAGAAGAATCGCTCTGTGAAGCAAAAAAAAAAGTATTTAAATGTGTGTTACTGTAATGTTCCACTTATTTTATTCCTTTCGTGTATCTTTATCTTGAACATTGTTAATTGTTGTTTTGCGGCTACTGGCTGACGTAGGGCTACCAAACGGAACAATAAAACCCCTGTAACCTTTAAGCAGTACTGAATGAATCCCTTGTTTAACCTAAAAAGCATATGTACATTTCATGTGTTCGTTGGCTCAAATCACCAGAGCAGCACTTTGTTCTAACGAGTTCCTCCACGCACCCGAGTGTTCAGCGTAAAACCTCTCGGAGTCCCGTCTCCTCCACGCGAGATCTCTGCATTTCACAATTAAAAATTTGTTGTCCAGTATTCTCTGGTGAAGAGCCTGAAAGAGAAAAACAAAAGTCATGTTACCTTGTTCTGCTGCACCGCAGCTGATGTGTTTGGATCAAAACTACATCAATGAACCCACAATTTCTTTGGATTATTCTATTCGACAGGTAGCTAAAAAAAAAGAATAAAAAGAGGCACGTGGTAGGCAATTTCTAAGATGTTCTAAAATAACCGAATAAGTTGTATATTGTCCATGTGAGCGAGCTCACCTGTGACATGACGGGATGAGCCACAGCATCCGGTTTGATCACCGCCAGGGTGAGCTGCAGCACCTTGGGGAGGCGAGCCGCTGTCACCGGCATCGTCTGCAGCGGAGACAGACGTTCACGTTAGACGTTACCGCTCGTAGATGTTACACCGCGTCAGCCACAGTCGGCTGTGGACGTGTAGCGTTGAGCTAACGTGAGGTAGCGTTAAGCTAACGTGAGACACCGGGTGATCCTGCAGCATTAACGCGTAACAAAAAAAAAACGACGTAAGCAGGGTTGCAGTGTTTTTTTTTTGTCTTTGACGATTTTCCTTGAGTACGGAACTGTTTAAGCATATATATTTTTCTGTAAAAAAGTTAGAAATAACGATAACGTCACTGACCTCGGTCCAAAATACCGGTCAGTTTGAAGAGGACAGCACCGCTACAGTTGCTAGACACGTTAAATAACGGTATTATTGTAGAAAATATAAACGATATATTTTGATATGGTCTTCTTCACAAGTTTTGCTTACGTTCATGTAACTACCTAGTGTAAAATAAACGTGATTTTAACGAATGGCGAACATATCGCGGTGAGTCCGTTTGATAATATTGTCCCCTAGAAACTAAATCACGATATAAAGTTCCTACCACGAGGGTGACACTAAAAATGAAGAAAGTGACATTCAATTAAACGGTTATTCTTTTTGACCCGAGCTTGAATAAAAGTGCCTGTATGTCGTGGATGTGATGGCCAGTTTTATTAAGCTATTCTGGGGAAATAGATGACGCACATTACATTTTCTCACATCATAGACGAGGCCACTTTGGATCAACATATTCTCTTTACTCTTAAATACAGGTGATGAAGCAGAGTGGGAATAAGTGCCTTGCACAATGGCACTGCAAGTGCATCTAGTTTCCCTCCATACGCTTAAATCCATCCTCAACTGAAATGACCACCAAAATCCACCTTTGCCATGTTACTGTTCCTGAATACCAATTAAGAGAAATTAAAAATTGATTATTTATCTACTAAAAAGACTGATGATTATGGTTCTTCATTCGTATTATCCCTGTTAAATGCAACATTCAACTTAAAAATAGAAATATGAACTCACTTTTCCATTTGATATCACATTATTGTACCCTTTCATTTAAAAAAAAAGTATCTTGGTGGATGGACTATGAATTATTATTAAACTGTTATATTTTTTAATATCTCCGATCCTCAGAGATGCAAGCAGGTCAACCTGACAACAAAGTCACCTTGCACAACGTAAAACACAGTTTTAGAAAGTGTTAAAGCGTAGATTATGGTTGAACCATTGACGTCGTAACTGACCATCTCTGACAAGAGACAGCGACACAACGGCTTCAAGCGGGGAGATATCTGAATGCAGAATGTCATCAATGCGGGAGATCAGACGTACAGTATAAGTTACAAACAGGGAGCAAATTCCAGCAATGCAAAATGGCCACACCCTTGAAAAGAGGAGTGTGTGTGTGGGGGGGGAGTTTGACATTCAGAGAGAATAGGAGGGAAGAAAGGGGGGATGGATTTTGCCACATAGGTTTCTTCCACCTGCCCATGTCATGTGACTGAGGGTGACACCACAGCTGTTGCCGCCCACGAGGGGGAAGGAGCAGGAGAGGGGAGGCGTTGGGTGGGTGAGAAGTTGAATGAATATGGCATAGAAAAATAATTACTTATATACACACACTATGTAATAAGTGTGTGCTTATTGGTACAATTCATTTGACTGCAGTGGAGCTCCTCACATCTTTAAGTACCACTTTGGTCAAAATCCTTCTTAAAGTACATCAGCTAAATTTACGTAAAATATTAAAACTAAGAATGCTTGGTGGAGTCAGTATAGTTTCTAAACAGAGGTTACAAAATAAACCTTAGGGGTTGTGCATTGATTAATGAGAGATGAAAGTTTCCCGTTTTAGAGCTGAAAGACTGCCACAAATATCCAAAAGGACTTTTTTAAAACACTTTTTAAAGGATGTTTTTGTTAGAAAATGTAAATCTTTTTGACGCTTCACAATCTCTGTACATGTCAAATACCTTTAATAATTTTCTGTTAAATCACCACAGATTACTGAAAAAGTTAACACGAAGGCAAATTAGCCCATGACGACCTAATGACAGTTTTGCCATATTTATGTATTGGCAGATTTAAACTGGAGTTCTATGGCAACCTTCAGGGGATCCACTGTATGTACGCAAGATATTCACAATTCTGACAACGTGAAGGTCTCCTATCAACAAAATTGTTTTCCATCCAACAGAAATGCTGAATGAACCAGGACTGAAATCTTAAAGTTTACCACTAGAAGCTTGTGGGAATCAATCATTGGCGTCGGCGAGCTGAAAAAGACCAAAACCAAAGCATTTATTCTCTAAAACCAGGATGAACAGGTTCGAGGAGCGAACACAGACTGCCGTTGATCACCGATGACACTTGCTTCCAACATCCTCATCTGGGGGGCTGATTCAGCTGACCCCCCCCTACCACCACCACCACCACCGCCGCTCTCTGCCCGCCATAAACCTCATCTCTTGTTTTATCTCTGTGTCACTGCTGCTGCTGCTGCTGTTGTTGCCTCTCACGCAGTTGTCGTCTCCTTTTGGTGGGAGTCGGGCAGCTGACCGACGACCCCCACAGGCGCTTGGGTGTCCGCAGGCGGCTGCACATTCATTCATTCAGCGGGAGACGCAGTAAAAGAAAATAAATGTAGTACAAGGGAGGATTTGTAGAAAAGTTTTTAGTTTTAAGATGAAATAATAGACACATGTTTCTCACAAAGTGGGCTAAAAGTAAGTGGGAGTGATAGTGGTTCAAACGTGGGGTTTGAAGTTAATCTTTAAACGGCACGGACGTGCCCATCACTGTGTACACTGTAGGTTGAACCTGCATCCAATTTGTCTGCAGGCAGAATGAAAGATTCAATACAAATGAGGAAGAAAAGCGTTCAGTAATGATTGAATATTGACATGTTTTATAACAACAAAACTCGTCCATAGGTTTGTATTTCTGGTAACATGCCACTATTCTCCCTTTGTTTCCACTGAAACCATTATTATGTCCTGTTAATACGGTCGATTCTTTAAATGATTTGAATAACATTGTCATACTTCTTTGTACATTTCACTGTTGAAAAGCTAGTTCAGCTTTCAATACTTTAAATATAACGTTCAATCCAAATATAGTCGAGGGATGTTATGGATCTCGGCGGTTGTCCTGTTGAGTCTTTTGGGAATGCCGTCGCTTTCTGAATAAACATTATGACATACGATAACATTCTCTCTCTCTCTGATACCTTTTTGAAAATAAGTTTTAGTGGGAAAGCAACATATGCCTCTTTTGCATGTTTACTCCGGTGTGCCGCATGTCCCCCATCTAAAGGGTCTCCAAAGGGGGACACGGAATCCCTTCATCCTAATTGTTTGGCTGGTGAGAAAAGTTAGGGGTGTGTTTCCTGTCATAACAACAGATCAGAGCCTAATTAGGACGCCATATTGTAAGAAATCGACGAAAACCCCCTTGATGTTAATGTTGTAGATTGTAACCAAACAGCCTCATCCAGACTCTCATGGACGGGATAAGTTGTTTTTGCAGTCCCTCATTCTCAAATCTAATGAGCGCACGGCATGCGTCTAAACCCCCCCTCCTCCCTTGTGAGTCACCAGAGTGAGTCGCCTTCACCTCCCCATCACCTGTTCTCTCTCTTAGCCTAAATGCTGGTGACCTCTGACCTCTCCGCTGCGTGTGCTTTACCACACGGGACCAGGCTCCCTGCAACAGCTGTGTCAACCTCAGCCCAGGCAACTGTTGTGCCCGGGGAAGGACAGCGAGCGGCATTAATGTCGGCCCGCGTAATGACTCAGCGACACGAGATCAGGCGCTCGGCTTTTACATTTGGTTCCTCGTTGGAGCGTCGGCGTCCTTACTTTCTTATATTGTGGCGAGGTATTAACACACAGCAGCACTTTGCTCCCATCATTTTCCTTTGTGTTCATTGCTAAAAGCCACTTTGCAAACGGCGCCGCTTTTTTTGCTACCTCACTTTCCACAACAATCTCAACAAAACAAAACATTTAGTCAGTTGTCGTCTAATAGCTGATTTAAGCCAAAATGTCAAAATGTCCACCTCCCGCGGGGGAGTTTCCTCCAGAAGAACAGGGGTTAATCGGCGAGGTCGGTCCATCTTGTGCACGTGCAAGACCTGATCTGGTGTCAGCTGCCAGTTTATTAATACCAATAGAAATCCATGCGATCCTCCGTTGAAGAAACTCTGAGGTTACTCAGTCTAAGTCTTACCTGCTGTCCCGGAGGGAAATTATTTCCCCCCCCCTGCCAAGGAACGTGTGTTGTGACCTCCCCCGAAGCAGCGGATGGGTATGACAGAGGGGAACAAAGTGATTAGCAAACAGGGGGCCCCGGTATGTGAACACGGGTTAAAAATAACCTTCTGACCCAATTAGTAGATAACAAGCAGCACAACCGCTGACTCCCCGTGCAGTCTTGATTTTCCTTAAAAAAAAAAAAACTGCATTGACAGTATTGAAATCCAAAACGGCGAATCTCACCCGGACATTTCATCAGCGTGTTTTACGAGGGTTTTCCGTGTGATCCAGAAGGCCTAAAAATGATCCCCCAGACTGACGATTGGAACTCAAATAAATTAAACAGAAGAGGAGTTGACAGATGAAAAAAAAAAAGAGTAAGATGAGATCATGTGCGTGATGCACGCCGCACGATGAAAGAGAGGCAGATGATTAGATGAGAGCCGGCTCGTGATATTCCTAGCGCCCAGATATAACTGGCAAGGCCTCGCTGCATAGCTGACATTAGTGGAAATGTTGCATTTGTGATACACCCTGGCTTTGCGCCATGGGAAATATTGAACAACTGTCGAATTTAGACAACATCCCGCGGCGGAGAGAAAAAAACGGGAGCCGCAATAGATGCCACGGGGGGCATCTATTTGTGGACGCCGGGTGCCTCGAAAATAGCGAGAGGTTTGAGTTTCAATGTAAGCCCCCCTCTCTTAGCTCGAGCTTTCTGTGAATGAGGCCCGGGTTCCTATCGCACCCAACCCCGGCGCTGATTTTAGAACACAGGTGTTGACCTTACCGGAGCGGCTTGTGCTTGCAGCAGAGGAAAAATGAATCTCCCTCTCCCCCTCCCGGGCCGGGCCGTCTGCCTCTGCGGTAATGGTAATGACTGCGCGGTCCCACAGAGGCTACTCAACTGTCTTATAAGGATCTACAGGCTCACTGACAGGAACAAATCTTGCTAGCCGGCTCATGATGGTTGATAAAAGTCAGTTTCTTCGACCCCCCCCCCGTCCCTGCTTGAATTCAGTGGTGTTTTGTGTCATGGCCGCAGGGTGGTCACCTTGTGGCCGCCGGAGGATTTATCGCTTGTTTTTATGGTGCCGCAAGAGCACCCATATAACCGGGTCGCGCTCGTCACACGCGATTGGCCGCGCTTCTTTGGCGAAGGTTCACGTTACAGTTTATCGATGGATTTACCACTTTTGCTTGACTTTGAGGCGGATCGCCACAAAGGTCCTGATATCTAAATTCTGAGAAGTTTCCAAACACTGCGACGACAGTCACTTTCTCCTGTACTGTAAATGGTACAATGAAACTAGAGGCAAGCGCGAAAACCATACGGGGGGGAAAGCGTGGCCCCGGCTTCAGCTGTGACTTGATGTAGCTGCTGTTCTGAGGGGACCCCGACCCCAATAAAACACGCCCATTGTACAGTTGCTTCCTTGTTTCCTCTGTGTCCCTTTCTCGCTCCCATATTTTTTTTTTTCCTCCAAAAAGGAACCATTGACATTGGGTGTCAAATAGAGGCGGGGTGGGAGGGGAGGGCAGGGGAGGGAGGGCAGCGGGTGGGGGTCTGAACAGAGGAACGGCAGGGGTGTAGGGTGTCTCGAAGCCCAGTGAGAACAGCTGAGAGGTGTGATTTCACAGGCTGGCTCCCCCCCCTGTCAGGGCCCTGATTGGGCCGGACAGGAGGCGCAGGAGAGGCCCGCGGCTTCTAAAGGACACCAACAGGTGGGAGGCCGCTTCGGAGGGGGGCGCTCCTTGGCGGGATAGAAAAGGCAGATCTGCAAGGCCTGTTGTGGGCACAATCCGCCGGGCCTGACGCGGAGCAGGGCGGTCGATGGCAGGATAGCCGGGGCGAAGACAGCAGAGGGGCAGGAGGAAGTGTGTGTGTGTGTGTGTGTGTGTGTGTGTGTGGGTGGGGGGGCGGTTCTCAGGGAGCACAGGGAGAGTCTGAGATGAGCTTTGAAGGTTGTAGAAGGCAGCAGAATAAGGTTGGTCTGAGAAGTTGGTCATCTCTGTGTGATTAACAAACTTTTACCTTTTGACCAAGGACTTTCTGTAGGTACGCTTTCTTCTGTATTTCAAAGGTAAAAGGTTAATGTTTGACAACAAATGGGCATTACGGGTTGCGTTTCGCTCAAAAGTCCTTCTCGATTCACACGCCGCGGACCTTCTTTCCTCTAGTTTCCTTGATTTGCAGCAACGTGTGAGTAAAATCAGGCGGCAAAACCAGTTGCCAGATGTTTGCTGTGAGTTTTACGGCCTGACGCCTCTGCCAGGTGAGGGGAAGCCGAGGCGTAAGAAGTAGGAAATTCTCATCGCAGTCTAATCAAAGAAGAGCCAGTCTTTCCAAAGGCCATTTGGTTTGGAGCTGGTTGGTGGTTAGTGCAGTGTAGGATAAGCTCGTTGAACCCCGATGTGGCCTCAAGATGCTCAGCACAGAAAACACAGCCGAAATCAGTTAAGGTGAGTACAAAACATCTTCCATGCCTTTCAGATATGATTCATTATTAACGTGGATTTGTTACTGTTTCTGTTTTTAAATGTGACATCACCCCACAGTTGTTGGGCTCAACATGACTTGGCACGGCCTGTTTGGGAAATAGTTCAGATTGTGACCTTTCAGAATCTGCCTCGCCATCCAGAGTTATTTATCGAGGGCGTTTAGCATCATTACATTGGCACCACCCATTACATAGCTGCACGGACTGGTCCTCAAGTATTAATACTTTTTGTCAGGGACAAACAGACGATTTACTTTCAGCATCAGACTTTTTGCCTCTTAAGTTTTTGCCTCTGTTAGACGATAACAGTTCAGACAAATAAATCTCAAATAAGCCACACCGGTAATCAAACCGAGCTCGCGCAGAGGACGGTGTCGCCATCGGCTCCGTCCTTCCCGCTCGCTCCCGTCACAGTTAACCATTCTTAAGCCGGTTGTTCCTGCTGCTCTGCACTTGTGAACTATGAAAGGGTGCTTTGTGTCCAGCGAGCCCTGAATCCAGTTGTTGCCCCTCGCGAGGACATGCTTCCTTATATCCCCATATCAATACACCACTTATGGAATGTAAGGAAGTGTGTGGTCTCAAGGGGTCTTCACCGCCGACCAAACTGCTGGAGAAGAGACACCCTGATGCTGTTTTTTTTTTTACACAAAGTCTATTTTCAAAATGGAATGACAGGTGAATAAAAGGTGCAGCTTTGTGATGGGTGGGTGGGGGGGTGATGTCAGGGTTTACGAGCATGTGTGGTGACAGGGCGACAGGTGAAAGGCCTGTTCCCTCTCCTTCAGCTCGGACACATGCGCGGTTAGTGTTACCCTCGATGATCGGGTCTCGGGGAGAATTCCTGCCCTTCCCCAGCGGCTGACAGTCAGGGAGGATTGACGGACCACAGCTGTCACCCATTATAGCAACCGCAGGACCCTCGGAAAAAAAAGGGAAGAGGGGAGGGAGGGCAGAGACGTGGAGCTGTCACCGAGGGTGAAGAGGTTCGGGGCCCCCGCAAGGCTGGATCGGGAAGGAAACAGGGCAAGACACCGCGATGATTTCCCCCCCCTTGTCTCTGTGTTTCACCAGGTAAGCCCCGAAGAGGAGGACACGGCCCCACGGGCCCGATGGCTCTCACAGACGGCCTCCACTTTTTTTTTATTTTCGTCTCCTTCTCCTCCCCTCCTTTCCTTCTTTTTTTTTTTTTCCTACGTCCTTTACTCTCCAAAACACGCCTTGCCGTGGCTGGTCAAACGGAACCAAGTCAGGTGTTTCTGTGAGGTTTGGTCCCCTTCAACCAGCTACTGCGCCGTGAATTCAGTCAGCGTGGAATCAAAGACACAGTGGCGCTGTGGTGCATGCTGCATACTTTAGAGGTGGTGGTCTACTGACAATGGTAGATGGTGTTCTTCGGTTATTTGATGTTTTGTTTCCTGTATGGCAAATGAATGAATAAAGTTTGATTTAATGATTGTCAAATACAGATTGAGTCGGTTTCCTTTGTATCATTTTAATCTGGATGAGTGTTTTTCTGGGTTGTGGGCACCGGTATAAAATGTGTAAACTTCCTCCAAATATCTACAAAGTCTGATGAAATAATTTCTCTTTGCACTACTTGAAAGTCAGTTATGCAGAATACACGAAACGTTTCAGCCCAAAATACCTCCACCAGAATTTAAACGTGACCCATTTAAAAAGAAATTAGACTCGTAAGGGCGAATGTAATAATTCTATTCTGACTTTATATGCTAAATTCAGAACAGTTTATTCTCTTAATCTTTGTCACAGACAAGCAATCAAACCAAAGAAAATAATAGCTTGTCTAAAGATGTCATATAGCTTACGCAGTATATGAAGCTTTTTTCAGAAAAAGGTCTATACATAAAAAAATTGTGTCTTGATTCTCCTATAACAAAAGTGTTATCCTGTTTCATTTCTTTCTTTAAAGTCAAATGACATATTAGTTCAGAGTGTGACAAATGCACCGAGAGTCTGTAACTGATGATTCAGAAGCACGGACTTCATGACTCCCGTAGTAATATGAATTATGTTTGGTAATGTTTGGGTTTTTTAGCGTTAATGCATGAATTGTGGAAGGCTAACAGGACAGGAGCACAGGGGATACCAGCAGAGTGGAAAATGCGACTAGAATCGTGAAATGCCTGTATTTTTTCAATCAATCATGAGATTCAAATGGTTTCAGGGAAATATAAATCCATTATGATTTATAGGCCGTACCTGACCTTGTAAAAGAAACTCACGCTAAACAGCGCGATTCACTGATGAATGAATAAAGTTATGTCTTGTTCAAAAAGTTGCAGCCTAAAAAAAAAGTTGAACCTAAATCATCAAGATATTGATGAATAAACAAAAAGCAACTGTAAAAAGGCGGTGAGCTGAAGCTTTTTTTTACCAAAGATGCTGTTGTTCGAGGTGTAACACAAAACTAACAGCCATTTTTGCAACAAAATAAAAAGATAATTATAACCGTTCTCGAACGAAACCATTTTATTTGACGGATAAAACGCCTCGGGTCGTTTGAGCCGCTTCAGAGCTCCGTTTGGCCGCTAGGGGGCGATGCAGGTCTCGCGTCGCGTTACTTTCCGCAGCAGAGGAAGTCGAGCAGCGCCGTAAACATGGCTGAAAGTGGAGTGACAGGTGAGTTCGGCGGTGTGTCACGGCTGCACTTCGTTGCGGTTCACGGGTATTTTTGGGATAACTTAGCGGCGGGCGCAGCGGCGAAAAGCGCCCCGCACTCGTAGACCCGCGGTTTGTGGTCTTTATGGTTTGGCTTGTAGCAAAGTTGAATGCCCCCCCACCACCACCATGCTAACGCTGCTAACGTTAGCATTGCATTATTGCATTGTCGGTGTTATTGCATCATTTTCCAGACTGTTTATTTTAAAACGAACTAAAAGACTTAAGTTGTCGCCATCGCACGAACAGACCCGTGTTTGTTTTAGTGAGGATGATGCAAACCTCGCAGGTTTAAAGGCTGAGCTGTTGTACCCAGATAACAGCATCACCAGACCTTAAAAACACATTGATGCATCAATTCAACCGTCCATTGTTTTTTTTACAGATGGGCTTTGCAATACAGATGACATTGAACGCTCAAAGGTCAGTACGTTTCTCCCAGTAAGGTAGCCTTTTTTGTTGTTGTTGTCGTCTTAATTGTAATGTCTTCTCTGGACGTGTTTGCCTCCACAGACTGAAGGCAAAGAGCTGACTAAAGAGGAGAAGCAGCGGCTGAGGAAAGAGAAGAAGCAGCAGAAGAAAAACAAAGAGAAAAACGACGAAAAGACTTCCCATGAAGGCGAGAAGAAGAAGAACAAGAAGAAGAAAGAAGAGCAGCCCGCCGGTTCAGCTTCCCAGCCTCCAGCGCAGCCCTCGCCGAAAGGTGCATATTGTTCCCTCGGGCGCCGATGGTTGTTGTGGTTGCATGCGTGGAAACGTGTCACGCTTGTGTTGTGCGTGTCGTTCGGCCCATGGACGCCTGACCTGACCCCGCTGTGACCTCCTTCAGCAGTGCCCGCTCCCGCTCCACCTCCTCCTGCGGCGGCAGCGGTTCCTGTGCCGGCCTCGGAAGCTCCTGCCCCGGCAGACAAGCCGGCTAAGAGCAAAGCGGACCTGAAAGCTGAGAGGAGAGCTCGGCAGGAGGCTGAGAGGGCCTCCAAGGGCAAGAAGGGAGACGTGGGGCAGCCGGCCCCCACGGGGAAGCTTAAAGCCCCGCCTAGCGAGCTGCAGCCAGGTACTGTGGTAGCCGGTGGTGACAATCACAACAATGGGGCGTATGCTGCAGAGAAAGTCACACTTTGTTGTTGTTTTTATCTGTTCCCAGTGGTGAAGAGGCTCCCAGAACATGTCCAAGTGGACAACCCGGAGGTTGTAAAGAAACTGGCAAAGAAATTGGAAAGACAACAGGTTAGCTGCTTCATGTGTCGTCTCTAAAAAAAAAAACCTTTGAATCTCGACAGCATCCTTTGGATGATTCAGCACAGCTCGCCTGGACTTAATCGGCGTACGCTGCCAGAACACCCTTTTGTGTTCAACCTCAAGCACAGAACTTACTTCTAAATTCACCATAAATGTGTTGAAAAGAAAAATAAGGAGAGAGACACTAAAGGAATTAAGACATGCTGGTAACTCTTGTCAATGTCATTGAAAAAAACAACAACATTCGTTTGGAGTCGACAGCAGTACAATGTGTTTCAATAACTATACAATGTGCTCGAGCAGCATATTTCTCTGAGACATACGAGCTTCACCTTGTAAGTTATTATTCCTACCACTAACTAACTGCTGAATCCTGTTCATTCTGGATTACTTGCCACCTCCTGTGGTTTGAGGGACACACACTTTTTGAATTTCAATCTTGTCTTTTGTTTTTAAAAAGTGGTTGAACCACTGTTTGGTCATTTGCCATGAAACTAGCTTTTCATTACCAGTTCTCTATTGTTAGGATACGTACAGCAAGGAGCTGAGAACGACACCAAAGTCCTTAAACGTGTTGAATTGCCGTGTGTGTACACAGCCTCACAAGGCCATGAGTTATAACTGCATGTGATCATGCCGAACATTTCTTTCAGACACCAGGGTGCAATGCTGCTGAAAATGTCAAGGTCTGACCTTCTTGCATATAGATGTGTGCCATTTGACATTCGTCTAGTTTTGTTCGCTGACCTGTACTTGTTATTGTTCTCCACCCCCACAAAGTCACCTTTTGGGTTGAGTGTGTCTGTCCCAGGTCTGTGGTTCACTCCATAGCGCTCGTGTTTGTATTTGGATCAAATATATTCACAATATAAATCCTACAATATACAAAGTAGGTTTCCTATGTGGCCAAAGTTAATGGTGAAAAAAGTCTCTCAAAAATGTTATGTGAGAGTAGCCTTTGATTAGGAACTTTGTATCTGCCTAACCGTTGATTTACGTCTACACTTTGACTTGTGTTAACGTCATGGTTCCGCTTTTGACCACTGAACTGCTGGGGAGGCTGATGGCGTCGTCTTTATTTCAGATCCCTCTCCGGTCGGACTACGGCTACAAAGTCAGCCTGTTTTCTCATCTGCACCAGTACAGTCGCAAAGCCCCTCTAACGCAGCAGCTCGGGTAAGCTGGCGGCGCGCCATGTAGTACACAAGGGTGTGTGGTGCTGCCGGGGAAGGGTTCCTTATGTAGTGCCAACAGCTGGTGTCCTTATTTCTTATTACCCAAGATTATCTGAAATCGACTGTTTTGTTCTGTCTTGATTGCAGCATCCCCTCCACAGTGATTCATCCTGCTATCGTTCGCCTGGGCCTCCAGTATTCACAGGGCATCGTGGCCGGATCCAACGCTCGCTCGGTCGCCCTGCTGCACGCCTTCCAACAGGTACAAACTTGGCCTGACTGCAGCACCGGGGGGGGGGAAGAACACAGTTCCATTTGTTTGGACGCCATTTGTAACCAAGTGTTACGAAAAATGCACCCGCAGGCGCCGCCTCGTCGCATTCATGTTGGGTTGAAACGTGCCATTTTTGTCGTGGCTTGATATTTACAGTAAACGAACTAAAGCAGCCCCCCCATCTCCCTCACTCCTCCACTTCAGGTAATAAGAGACTATACTACGCCTCCAAATGAGGAGCTATCGAGAGACTTGGTCAACAAGCTGAAGCCTTATATCAGGTAACTTGTTCAGTTTTACTAAATATTCATCACAATTTGAATACGTTCTTCTAAAGTGTCACTTAATGATATGGTTTTTTTTTTAACATAACATTTTTGCACGTCTTATTTTTCTTGCAGTTTTTTGAATCAGTGTCGCCCTCTGTCAGCCAGCATGGGTAACGCCATCAAATACATCAAGAAAGAGATCTCCAATATTCCTAGTCAATGCAAAGAAGAAGAGGTTCCTGCCACAATTCTCTTTTCTTCACACAATTCAACCAGAGAACACAAACCTAATGTGTTGTCTGATCCATATATTTCAATATACTTACTGATATGCAATTCTAGTCTCTTCCCCCTTCATGATTTCTCCTTCTCTGTCTAGGCAAAGATAAAACTGCTGAACTGTATTGAGCGCTACATCAACGAGAAGATCGTCCTTGCTGCTAAAGCCATTGCCAAGTACTCCATAGAAAAGATCAGCGATGGAGACGTCATCCTAGTTTACGGATGGTAAGCCTCTTAAAGCTGACGTGCAAAGAAGAACCGTTTTGTTTACATGTCACAAATGTGTTTGTGGGTTTTGGTTTCAGCTGTAGAATCTGCACAGTTCCCCCCCAACTGTTCATTCAATGTCACCATTTCTACTTCCATCAGCTCGTCGCTGGTCAACCACATCTTGTGCGAGGCCTTCGAGAAGAAGAGGAAGTTCCGTGTGATCGTGGTGGACAGCAGGCCGCGACTGGAGGGCCGCGAGGCCCTGAGGCGCCTTGTCCAGAAAGGCATCAGCTGCACCTACGTCCTTATCTCGGCTGTCTCCTACATTCTTCCAGAGGTACGTGTACACGTTGGAGCCTGAGTAGACAACGATGGGGTTTTATATTTCTGCCAAAAATGACTCCTTATCTCTTAATAATGCTTTGATCTTCGACCTCCAAAAAAGGTGTCGAAGGTGTTCCTTGGTGCTCACGCTCTGCTGGCCAACGGTTACGTCATGTCCCGGGTGGGGACGTCACAGATAGCTCTGGTGGCCAAAGCCTTTAACGTGCCTGTGCTGGTCTGTTGTGAGACCTACAAGTTTTGTGAGAGGGTGCAGACGGATTCCTTTGTGTCCAATGAACTAGGTAAAGGAAAAAGCCGTCAGTGGTTTGTTCAATAAATATTTCCCTTCATGTACCATGCGTGTTTATGTGATGTTCCTTCCCAAACATTTGTGAGCTCACTTTCTTCCGTGCTTTCCAGATGACCCCGATGACCTCATTGTGACCCGTAAAGGGAAGACCCAGCTGGAGCACTGGCAGAAGGTGCCCTCACTCGGCCTGCTCAACCTGGTGTACGACGTGACGCCGCCCGACTTCGTGGACTTGGTCATCACCGATCTGGGGATGATCCCGTGCACCTCGGTCCCCGTAGTGCTGCGGGTCAAAAACGTGGACCAGTGAACGCCCTCCTGCTCACATCAATCCGAGCTCAGGGTCCGTTTGGATGCTTGCACACAACACAAAATTTCGTGCTTTGAGCATGCAATAAATATCTATCTGAAATGGCTAAGGCTTTTTTTAAAGACAGACTCCACGTGTGTTTTTATGGGGTTGGATAATCAGAGATGTTCCTTTGGGGTGAGGACGTTCTCTTATTCTAATATTTGGGTAATAACCTTTGACGGAACATTGAATTGCCTGTACGATGGCTTGACATGGAGGTCCGTCTATGTTCAAAGTCAACACAATGTGCTCGCATGCTTCAAATTGCTACACATTTGAATCTTTGAACACAAGAAAGAAATCCCCATTTCATGCACAGCTACACACGGCTGCCTTGATACCATTAATGGTATCAATACATTTCCAGAAACAAGTCCATAAAAGATGGTCGAATGGATGTCCATAATTCCATGGTAATAACTCAAGACAAGCAATATATTCATTGTTTAATATTTTATTAGAACCCTGCATGGAAAAGTGAAACACTTTTTTTTTAATCCGTGAAAACAAACATTTTAAAGACCTTTTAAAGGCAATGTCTCACTTTTTGAATAAAACTTCATACATAAAATCTTAAATTTGATGGTTCAATTCTAGTGAGTGAACCTGACTTGGTTTTTGCTCTGATGGAAGCACATGTCCAACATTAAGTAAACAATGTTCTGAACTCTACAGATGTCCTCATGTGCTTCAGGACACGTAGCTCCACCGTGTAAACGCACCCACTGTGCATGTTTGGCACCATTGACACCGAGCAAATCCTCAGAAATGTCATACACACAACCACTTTACAAACATCTTGAGTCAGTTAACTACATTTAAAAATTGAATTATAATGGTAACAGTGATATTGTTGCCAAAAAAAATTTAAAACAACAGCAACTACTGTTGAGATTAATTATCTCTAAAATTGCACTGATGACGCAGTTAAAAAAAAACAGTTTTTAAAATGTACCGAGTTAAAATAAAGTCAAATTAATGATAGAAGTCTGGCGTCACCTCAGACTTCAAGTCAGTATTTTCCCTTTCAGTGTTTAAATAAAAAATGAAGCTGCAGGCCTCACAGTGGCTTGACCTTACGTCTCTGCGTGACCCACAGCAGCAAAGACGCCGCCACCGTAACCGCCCCGAGAGGCCCAAACACCAGGAGCCCGGGGAACTCCCCCTATTGCCGCAGAGAAGACAAGAGCGACTTTAAATGAGAAAAAAAAACAATAACTTTGTAATAAAATATTGCATGAATGATAGAAAACAACAACTGACCCTTCGAAGACACTTGTACCCGTGGAAGTCATCCACACAGCTGCACTCAAAGAAGCTGGGGCCGTAGGGGGCGCAGAGGGAGTTCTCGGGGCAGTTAATGGCTGTGGATTGTTACTATTATTAATTATGAGCTGAACGGTTGTTAAGTATTACCAGCAGCCTACTGCGGTTTGAGATCCCCTGTGTGACCGGGGAGGAGCCACACAGGGGATCCGATGGGAACTTACACAGCTGTCCGGTCTGGTTGCACCAATTTATCTGGCCCTCGCAAAGGCGATTTCCCCCCTTGACCTCCACCTTCGCCCAAGAAGTGTTGCCCCCTGGACAGTGAACGTGTTCTGGCAAAATGCTACGAACACACAGAAATGGACTTTGAAAAGAAATGTTGCTCAATGCTCGAGAGCAGCTGTCATCGTTCAGTTCTTTTAAGCAGAATACTTACATGAAATCTAACTCAATAAGGCCTTGAAATGCTGCGTCGCTGATGTTGACGATGGGATTGAGGGAGAGGTCTCTGAAAAGAAAACGTTTTTAAAAGTTAAAAATGGTTCAATGAGGGTGTACTGACTATTATGTAAAAATATATGAAAACTATACAAACATCATCATTATTGCTCTTGAAGTTCCGAGGAGACCCTCCACGTGAGTTAGTGAACAGTTGGACAGATCCAACCTGATACCAAAGGAAGGAAGGAAACTTATTATTATTTATTTATTTATTTATTTATGAAGATTTTAAACAGTTACAGCGGCACAGTGGATATAATTGGGCATTACACTGGGACAATGACTACATCACAAGCACTGGCAGCCCATATATTCTAATTATCAGGGATGAAAAAATACAAAAAGTACACCTAGTACATTTACTTGTTTAGGCTGGTAACTTATGTACTTATTCATTCATACACCAATGTGTTGTATAGCTATGGCCCCATTTTGCTCACACAATCCATTTATCGAGATTGACGCAAGTGTAACCTCAGTGTCCGATAGGAAGTGAAGGCAACGTCAAAGTCCTACCCGGTGATGCGTTCAGGGTCGCTTGTGTTGTCGCGTCTCAAGCAGCAGCGCCCTTCTATCCGACCAGCGGATGAGGAGCAAAACTGTCCCACTGCGCTGCCATTCAGGACTGCGCCGCTGCAGAGCTCACATACCTAAGATCACGCACCATTACGAGGGAGAAAGAGTGGTTGTAAACAACCGTACCTCCAGTCGTCCCCTCGCTGACACCTGACGCCAACATTAGCTTTTTCTAGTAAAGATGACAGCTGTTAGATTACCAAAGAAAAGTCTTACCTGCAGGTCTTTCGGTTGATAACTTGCACAGAAACATAACTTCACGATCAAAACAAGCACTGCGGGTTTAAGCTGGTTGCATCCAGCTTTCATTTTCATCGACTGAAGTCATGTGACTGAACTGTACCGGACATGTGACAGGAAGCTGCTCTACAAGTCTAACTTATATTTGCGCTGCATTTACGCATACTCTCAACCTAAAGTGAATACATAGTATCTGATTATGCGATAATAAGTATCTACTTATATAAGTATATATAATAAGTATTTCTGCTACAGAATACAATAATTCTAAATAACCATTTTAGCGGCGAATCACTAAGCGCAATTCAATGTTCTAATGCAACCAGCGGGTTATTTGGTAAAAACCTCAAGTTCATTCGAAAGAAAGATCTCACGAATCCTCATGCACTCATGACACGTTGGTAGTTTTTAATATTACAGTCCCATTTCATTGCGGTTCTAGGACTCCTGACAAAATCTACACCCATTTTCTAACAGTAGGCTAATGATTTCCGACTACGCTTTCGCTGTCACTTTGGCTTGCACCAAATATGTGTACAACTTAAATTAATGGATCTTACAAGAATGAAAATACGGGGAAAAATAAACCCTGATAACAAATACCCGTTGTTACATTTTATTAAAATGCATTCCAGTGTCGAAAACATGACATACGTGCCTGAATTCCTTTTATATTCCCACCCTTGAAGGGCAAACCACCCCTGCCTAAATACGAGTTGGTTTCGCCCAGAGGGATTGTTGCAATGCCCCCTTAATGGGCCACCAGACACACAGAATGGCTCAACGGCGCTGGCACATCGCTGCGATATCTGCCACAATGTATCCGTGAGTTTCCGTCGTCGTCGTCGTATATATTTTTCTTCAGCGAATGCAGGAGACACGCCAAATACGTCCAACCACAAAAAGTGTAACTGTCTCCCCTCATATTCCAAAAGGTTTGCCTTTTCGGTTCGGCGACGCTGTATGTTTTTTTTTTTTTTAATTTTTTTTTTTTAAAGGAAGCAATTGCACCTCTGCCGCAACTCCATCTGCTTACGCAAATGACCTCAGTCACCTGTGCGCGTTGAAACTCGAATGCAACAGTAGGTGTTTTTTTTTTAAGTTATCACGAATGATTTAAAAGTGGGTTAAGGGGGATTTCTCCAACGCCGACACTTGGAAGGTGCAATTACTTAACACTTGCAACATGGCTGCTGCTGCTGCCGCTGGGACGGCGGCGAGAAAAGTTTGACACTGACGCGGGAGAAGTTTTACGCGAATGCCAGTCGGTACGTGAGTCGCTGGTCCGGATATTAAAGTGCTCCGCCGGCGCGCGACTTCGGGCTCCAAACCTGCAGATAAACCGTGCGAGAGCCTCTTCTTCCTCCTCCTCCTCCTCCTCCTCCGTAGTCCCCTGCAGTGGAGTTTTTTTTGTTTTTTTTGGAGGGGGGAAAACTGGTGTCTCCATCGTAAAAATCCGTGTTGGCGATTTTTAAATTTTTGTCGTCAGACACCGGAGGGGGGGGCTTGTGTTTCTCCAGCTGAGATGCATTTTTCCATACCGGAGACGGAGGTTCGTTCGGGAGAAAATGGATCAAGCTATGTGGTGAGCATGATCATCTCTCCGTCTGTGTGTGTGTGTGTGTGTGTGTGTGTGTGTGTTTACCCGCTTTCACTCCAGCCTGCGTTATTAAATGCTGGCTTCAGCTGCCCACAGGTCGGGCCGGTGTCCATGCACCTCGTGTTCCGGTTTAATAAATGATCTGACGGCATCACAACAGGCCGAGCTGCTGCTCGCTGCAATAATGAAAATCAACAACAGGAATCAGCTGTAGCCTCAGTCAGACTGCAGAATGTCTCCAATCGCAATTTTCAACCCAAGTATACACCCTAAGCTGGGTGCATGAACTTGTTTTAGAAATGAAACGTGGGTAAAAGTAAGTTTGACCTCCAGTGCACCCTGCATAGCTTTATTGGTGTGAGGCCACTGAAAGCATCGATAGGAAAGTCCTCGGGGTCTTTAGGCTTCTACATTTCTATCTGGCTTCGGCCTCCGCGTGTAAAATGCGTATAGCATTTTGTGGATGTTTTCACATTGTTTCCTTGGTCACATACAAAGCCGGGACACATTGTGCCGCTGTGTGTAGCAGAGGCACTTCTGTTCAGTAGATGCACTGACAACGCAAAGTGCCTTCTCCTTTTTTCTTGTGAGTAAATGCGTGTCTAATAGCGCATACACCAGGCTCATCCAGTCGTAGTGTTGCCAGGGAACAACAAACCACACAGCTACAAATAATCTCTGATGCTTTTATAGTTTTCTTTTAAAGAGATATGTGTCTCACAGAACAATGCAGCGCTCCTGATTTTCGCCAGATGTTTTCGACTTAACATCTGCAAAATCTGACTTTCAGTGATGTCACGCTGGCCGTTCTCCGTGTCACACACCCGCCCGCGTCTTCCATCTTGACTCCATGTGGTCTGAGAAGGGGGAGAAAAAAAAGAACAATGTGATGTAATTTTTCTCCCGTAGTGAACACTGTGTTACACGTGTGCAGTAATGCGCTCTGACGTATTTCCCATCCAACCACAGAAGGCAGCGCTCACTGCGGCTGGTTTCTACCTGGCGGGACACACATTTACCCCGTGCTGCAGGGGGAACTGTGACCGTCGCTGTGACCTTCCTGCGTCTGTCCGACAGGAAGGGACTTTGCATGATTATAATGCTGAGCGATGGGATGTGTACCTTTGGAACCACTAAGCCGCACAAACTGCAGAGTTTGCAAACGGCCCTTTTAGGAAAAACAAGGGCGGCATTTTTTTTGTTGTTTTGAAGTAATCTGCAGGCAGACATGCGTTTATTTTGAGTGCTCACGCTTCCTCTTGTCTGACGGACTTGTATCTTTCTCTCTGGTCCGCGCAGCGTTTTGTTAGTGGGTGTGTGTGTGTGTGGAAGTGAGATGAACTTTGCCGATGGTGACTCATTGACTTGAGACAAGGAACAGGTCGGGGCTAAAATCAACACGTTCATCCATCTCTGTGCTTACGGTTTTGTATTCGTCAGCAATATGTATGAACTCAAAATGGGTAATTTTTTTTTAGTCTTGTAATTGAATTCTTCTGTACATTCAAATGTACAACATTTTATTATTATTTTTTGGCCTGCTCGGAAACGTCCGATCAAGTGCCGTTGCTTTTGATTTGCAGGGGCAATCGATCATATGTGCATCGTATGGTGTCCCGGAGACAAACCCTCTGCCCCGCCAAACAAGGAAGGGTTAATGTCCGTGTGTTGTCAAACAGAACCGAGACATTCAGCAGACTTCCGGCCTTCATTCCGGCTCCGCGCACACCTTTTGGTTAATGCGTGGGCCGTCATCCAAATTCTTTGTCCTCCTTTCACTCGCTGGTTAAATTGAATCCCAATACTTGGTGGCCTTTGCCGTGTTGGTGAATACGTGTTTCTACGTCATGTTTTTTTGAGCTATTTAAAGCAATAAAAACAAACTGACTTGTGGTAACTTGAGAGACACACTTCTGTTTTGTAAGTAAGCTGGTATTTGGGCAATCTGAAATCAGTTTTTTTTTTTTCCCCAGAGTACATGGCTGAAGAATTACTTTATTAAACCCGTGGCTTTGTCTCGTTCCCAATGCTTAATGAGGCATCTGACATGAAAAATAGAATCTCTCTGAGATTGGCTCTAAACGAAGGAAAGATCACTTTGTAATGAAAAAAGAGCGCGAGGAAACCTGTGGCGATGAGATGAAAGAGATTGAGGTTGTGTGAGGGGAAATCTTTGGCTCGCGAAAATGTTTGCGGTTGTTCTTTTAATGTCTTTCACCGCTTTAAAACCCGCCTGACTTTTCGCTCTGCATCGACACTCTGAAAGGAATCCACTTTGTATTTGAGGAACTCCGCTACAGATCCACGCGAGCTTTTCGTGACCCCCGCGTCTGTCTGCATTTGAAATGAGTCCCTTCTCTTCCCCGCAGGCCTACAACATCCACGTCAACGGCGTGCTGCACTGTCGGGTCCGCTACAGTCAACTCCTCGGCCTCCACGAGCAGGTGAGGCTTCCGCCGACCTGCGACGAACCCGCGGCTGCTGGCGCACGCAGGGCGACCTGTTTGCCCGTCTTTGTTATTGCTCCCCGAGTCTGGACCGATGCATCTAAACGGGCGGCATTGTGGAAGAGCTCGGGGGGGGAGGAGGGGAAGAATGGAAGGAATGTTCTTGGCCTTTCTTTCACTTCACCTGCCTGGAAAAGCATCTGAAAAAAGAAATGTTGGAAAGTGTTTCCTTGCCTGTATTTTTGTTTTCAGTCTTTGCCTCTTTATACACACACACACACACACAGCTATTTTTTTTTTAACCACAATTAGCGTGTTTAGCATCCAAGTGTCTTTTCTGCAGCGCTCCGCTTAACAGTCGACTTACTTGCCAAAGTGCTGTAGGTACATTTATTTTTGAGACTTGCTGGCTGACAACCTGCGTGCTCTTCGTACCACAGACGTGTGCGCCGTGGCACACGTCTAACGAAACCCGCTGACAGTCCCCCCTTCTCGTGGTTTCACGCATTATTAAATGAGCAAACAAGGCGCAGACTTTGCCATTTTTGCTCCTCAAGTCCGTAGTCTTGACATTTTGCTGTTGCTCGGCAACCGCGTGCGGGATGGACCTGCTCGGATCTTTAAGAAGGATCCCCATAGGGCTCCATGTGGTGTGCTTATGACCCCGAAACACGCCTGGGATTGCAGGGCGCGCAGACAAACACACACACACACACACTCTACCCCGTTAGTGGTGAGAAATTTGTTAACGTTCATCCTTTCTCTTGTTTTCTCCTCTACAGATTTGTGACAAGGTCACAGTTCTGTAAGAGCCAGAGCTTATTTAAAACAAGCATTTTGTTAAATGCCCTCTGCCTGCCAACACCCAGTGGAGCCCCCCCCCCCGACATGCCCTCCGTGCAGGACACAGCAGGGTTTTATAGCGAGGAAAAAGAACAAAAAAAGTTCCTTTATGATGAACGTGATGTTCAACTTTTACCTGCTGCAACATGCAGGTTAAAAATAAAGCTTGTTTGATGTCATTTTCATTTATTTTTTTTTCGCGACGCCTTAGTTCAGGAATTCTAGGGTTTAATAAAAAAAAAAAGGGAAGAAATGAGTCAAGAAGCTGGAAAACAAAGTAACTTGGAATGACTAGACATTCAGGGTTCCAGATGTGCGTGTGTGTGTGTGTCTTTGTTATGCACGGAAACTCCAGCAGCTAGTCGTTGAAACGGGGCTTAAAATAAACCTGTGATTCATCTCGAGCAGCATGAATGTACCTCAGAAATGAATCCAGGACACTCTAATCTCAGATGCTGCTACTTTGTGCCGAAGTGAATAAGTTGAGTCACATAAACTTATGAATCCGTTTGAAATGATTTTCAGTGCTCGGACTTCAAAAAGCTTCTGCACCTTCCAGCTTCTCACAACTTGCGTTTTGTACCGACAGATAAAGAAAGAATATGGCAGCAATGTGGTGCCTGCGTTCCCTCCAAAGAAGATCTTCACTTTGACTCCTGCTGAGGTCGAACAGAGACGAGAACAGCTGGAGAAATACATGCAGGCCGGTAGGTTCTTCATGCCGGACGGACTTCAGTCTCATTTCAAATTGCAGTGAATCTATCCCCACGGGGGGGTATTTTTTTTTAAGGTTATGATAGAAAAGAGTGCTGACTTTGTTTTTGTGGTAGAGCAGTAGAGCTTTGCGGCACAAACACAATTTCCCTGAAACATTTGCTTCTACACAACGATCGCAGGAATGAGTTGGCTGCGTCTCTCCTGGGGGAGTCAGTCATAACCGGCGTGTTCACGCCAAATAAAACCCCTAACACGTGCTCCACTGACTTCACTGCGCGGCATTCTGCTTGATGAAAAGCAGCTCGGGTTCTCACACCTGAAAGGGTCATTAAAAGTTTTTATGGGTTTGGATTTCCATGTGAGAATGGAATAATATGAAGTATAATTCAAATATTTGCAGGAGAGAAACTAGTTGCTTGCCGGTGAGGATTTCCGAGGAGTTAAAAGCTTTATTTTGCAAGTGTTCAGTGTTTCTCATCCCAATTTGGCAAGTTTTATTATTTTGCCCAAATGTTGTAAACAGGCCGAGGGTGTACTTACACACACACACACTGGCAGCAATGCAGAGGGTTTGTTTTAATCCTCTCAAGCACTGGCGGTTACAGCAGAACAAGGGAGCGTTGTTCAAGTGTGTGTGTGTGTTCGCTCGCTGCCTGGGAGCACGCAGGGTGTTCTGGGATACGAGTTTACTTGGTTACATCATGGCTTCGTGCATAGTTATGGAAAAATGGACCGCCGCAAACACAATCTGCTCTGACGCAGCTGCCTAGGAACTCTTTGACTAATTTGTAAAGGACAATCGCGTGAACGCACACCCACACGCACAAACAACACTCACTTATCAGTCATACGGGGTCATCACGCCGATCCTTGAAAGCGTTTCCCTGCAGCAGGATGCTGCCTGAAAAGAGAAAGCAAGGTATGATTATTATCAGTGGTTAGTGAAGGGGACTGCGTTAAGATACGACTGACCTTTTTTATATTAATCATTCACCCCCAACTGAACCAGTGCCAGGAAACACTTGCTTTCCATTTTCAGCCGAGTTGCCTTGATCGCATTGACGGGTCAAACCCGTTCTGCAAAATCTGGTCCTGTGATAAGAGGAAACTTGAGAACAACAACTGGGAAGTGGCTTCCCGGGAGGTCTGTGTCTGTGTTTACGCAACATCCACATAAAGACCCTCAAGAAAGACTCCTTTTTTCTTTTTTTTTCAAACCTCCATTCACCGCTCCTTCTTCGGTGAGACACGACTGCAGCTTTTGCACCGGCGCTGCTAATTCCTCCCTCCCCGTGTTCTCTGTTTCCCTCGCAGTGCGTCAGGATCCGTTGCTCGGAGCCAATGAGATGTTCAACAGCTTCCTACGGAAAGCCCAGCAGGTTGGTGTGTTTGCTGGAATCTTCTGTACCCGCGTCGCTGCGCTCGCCCTGCGCTGTGTCAACGTGGTGCAACCACCAGAGCCTGACGTGGTCCTCTAGTAATCGCTCACGGCGATGTGGACGGGTGTGAACCCTTATCTGTTAATGGCGGATACAGAACGGGGAGGCGGGTGACTGACTCGTGTCGTCATCGTTCGAGCCGCGACTCGCCAGCGGGGCTGTAAATCCAACGACCTTCCCGGACGGATTCATCCGTCTGCTGCGACATCACAGCTATTCCCCGTTCCTCTGCCCCCCTCCCTCCCCCCCCCACCAGAATGGTAGATGAGTTGCCACCCGGTGCTGTCAAGTCATCTGCCCCCACAGTGCCATCGATGTACTGGGAAGGCCCTCCCCCTCCCGCTGACAGAACAGGGAAGATGAGCGAGGATTGCTCAGCGGTGGTGGGGAGGCTGCCGGGGGGGATCCAGCATGAGCTTTCAGATACTCTGTTCCTCGGCTGAGAAGCGATTAGAGTCCTGACGTATTCACAGGTTTTGGCAGTGCGTTTCCCTTTTGCTCTGGTTTTTAAAGGGTTTTGTTCCCTTTTTTTCCCCCGCATAAACTGCTAAATGCTGCTCCCTTCATTTCTGTGTGAGCTCATTAGTTTAATTCATTCTGCAGAAAACTGATTGATGGAGTACTTGTCTTTTTTAAAGAGAACTTTGGCAAAATCAACCGTTTTGTTCTACTAATGTAAGTTGAATGTCTTCTGGTTTTGGTTGGACGACGCCTCTCTGGACGCTGAGGGACTGGTGTTGACACTTTGTTTGTCTCTATGGACGTTTGGGCAGCTTGTCTGTTTTGTGTTTTTTTTTTTTTTTTCCCTAATCTCCACTGGGTATATTTGCTTTCTCTTTGACCAGCCACATTTTTGCTGGTTTGATTAAGTTGTTGACGGACGGGAAAGAAAACACACCGCTGACCCACGAAGCCGAAGGAAAGCCTGTTGTGTTCTGTGTCGTTCCCACAGGAGACGCAGCAGATTCCCACGGAAGACGTCTCCCTGGACATCTGCCTGTCCAACGGTCAGAAGGTCACCGTCAACATTCTGACTTCAGATCAGACCGAGGACGTCCTTGATGTGAGTTTGAGAGGTTAAACCTTTAATACTCCACCAAGTAAATGTGGCTTTATGAATGTATCTGATTCAGTTTGATGATGGGGGGGAAGAGAATCAAATAACAAAGATACTCTTAGAAAAACAACTGTTAAGCGTGCGGAGTTCCAAGCAGATCCTGGATTGAGGAACGGCCTCAACATGATGAGCAGGCGGCAGCGTTCGTGTCTGTAATGCTGGAGACGTCTGGTCTTTCTTTTTGTTACGGCAGTAAATCTATGTGGAGAAGCTCTGTTGTTTCAGACGCCACTGCCTGTAATGTAAATCGCAGGGAGTCCACGTAGACGGCCTTTATTCCAGGAGCCATTAACTGGGCTTAAGAAGTTACAGACGCTTCGATCCAACTCATCCGAAACTAAAATAAACGAAACAACCTTGAACCAATTGATTTCTTGTGGCTGTTTACAGGTCAGATTATGATTGAGACCAAACATTAGCATTTGGCACTTTCACAAACACTCTTAGGAAGAGAAGTTCTATCATATCAATTGTGATATTTTTCAAACACAAATCTCCTGATTCATGGAAACTTGCATTCACAGGCTAAAGGCCTCCTTCATGTCAAAGCTCTCCCGTTGCTGTTTGACATGTGGTTTGATTTACACAGGCTGCACAAGGGGACAATAGTTATGTCCTTGTTTTTTTTCGAGATGGTGAAGTATGATAAAAAGAAAGAGCCCATTTAATACTAAGCTTCCATCTGCCTTCAGTCTGTTATGACGTCCTGCAAAATGAAAAAAGAAGCAGGAATGAATGAAATGATTGTGAAAACCACCTCCCTCATCCTTCCGCAGGCTGTTGCAACAAAGCTCGACCTTCCTGATGACCTCGTTGGTTACTTCAGTCTCTTCCTCATCCGTGAGGGGGCGGACGGGGGTTTAACGTGTAAGTCTCAACAACAACAATGTAAAAAATCTGAAGAATTTCAGGAATTCAGCCTTCAAATATTCAGCTTACTAATGGAAGTATTCTCCATAATTCATTACTGCATTATTTATTAAAAATATCTCTGGAATGTAATTTCCAACAATACTTAAAGTACTTTTTTATGTTTTTAGTTAATTTTAATTATAGCTGTAACTGTTCTGTTGCGCTGCAGAATAACTTTCTGCGGGACCAAAGAGAACGACGTGCTAGAATGTGACTCGTCCTCAAACTTGTATTCCTCTCCAAATACTGCAATACTGAAAAAACACATTTCCTCATTTCCTCTCTCCGAGTCGCTGCTGCATCTCCGGCTCGAGTGCATCATTCATTTATTAGCTGCTCAGTGAGACGCCGGCTCTTTGTGCCCGTTCATGCAAAACCAGTTGTGCTGCGTTTCACGTAGTCCGGCTCACCGGGCCGCGTGCAGAGAGTTTTAAGGTTGAGAATGTGTTTGCTGTTGATTTAAGCGCTATAATCCTTTTGTTGGCTAGAAGCATCGCATTCACTGGCTAACCAAAGTCGTTTTTATGGACAAATAAGTGGGTTCTACCGTTCAGATGTATGAACATTTCTTGTATTTCCTCATGCATCTATACGAGGAATTGTAATGTACACTCTGCCATGGTCCTTGGCAACAAAGGCCCTCTTCTCTCATCTTCCAAAACGCTCCCCCCAAACCTCACGCCAAATCCAATATTTACAGATTCCATAGAGGACTCTGTAAATATCGCAGGCGCGATGTATATTCTCAGCACAGTTTAAAGTCTGAATCTCTGAGTGGCTTGAAAGTGAAAGGGCCGTGTGTTGAATACGACTCCGCTACCAAAATAAATCCGGCGCAGCAGGCTGCAAATCAAACACGACTGCTGGTGGGCGTATTGACATAACAGGAGAACTAGAAGAATTCAATTCCTTTCTGACGGGCAGTTTCCCAAAATCTGTGTGTAAATCAAAACATGTTTAAATATACGACGTCGTGTCAAGAATATGGGGTTTGGAAAGGCGGCGCTCATCCTACCTTCATTTTAGAGTTCTTTTACATTCATCGTGTGTCTAAACGTACTGTGCAAAGCTAAAAGCGCGTTCGCTCTGCACGTTTATAGAGGCCTGAAAACACGGCAGCAGCCTCGCCAAGCACCTGAGCCTCCATCGCTGTCCTTGGAACGGGTGGCTATGAAACAGCTGCCCGTTGTAAACGTACTCATTTAAATACACACACACACACACAGTTGTACCGTGCCCAGCGGGACCCGTCCAGATGGAGTTCTCCCGTCCCTCGTTGTTTTGTTGTTGCCGTCGTTATCCAAATGTCCTTGGGAGTTCGTTTTGTTTGTCGCTGCCCTCGTTCCAATCCTTACTTTTCTTTTTTTGTGTGTGTCTCCCTCCTCAGTTGTGCGAAAGCTGCAGGAGTTTGAGCTGCCTTACGTGTCCATCACCAGCTTGCGGAACTCTGAATTTCACATCCTCCTACGGAAAAGGTACAACCCCCCCCCCCGCTTACAGGTTGTTGAACCGTATCAAGTGCTGTGATAGCTGTGATTCATTGCCCAGAGGTTGTGCGAGTGCTCCAAGTGGGTCTGATGTATTTGGTTTGGTAAACACGTGCTGCACTTGAATCAACCATTGGCACTTGTTTTTTGATCTGTCAGAGCAGCCTGACCACTCGCTGACCGACCGGTCATCTTAAACCTTGTACTTCAACAGGAACCAATACTGAGCAAACGGACGGATCGTTTTAACTCCAAAATAAGGTGTTCTCATCCAGCTAATAAGCTAATTATTTTCCATGGAACAGAACCGAGACGATTGGGTGGAAGCTCTGTGTTGAGTGATTATTTGGAGGCCCAAATTATCGACCGCTTCATAAAGCCGAACTCCGTCTTTTTAAACCTCATTATAAAACTAACCAATAAAGCAACTAGAGCCCATGTGGTTCATTTGCCCAATATTCCCTTTGGCTCTGATTCATTTATGGGTCGTAAAAAAAACATTAAGTTATGGGTACAAGTGTCTCTAGTAAAAAGGGAAGGGGTGAGGGAAAGAAAAGCAGATCTGTGTGGGTGGCACATGTGGAACCCTGAGCCTGAAGTGACTGCTTCCCTCTAGAACACAAGCTTTTTCTACTTCCTCATGCGTGTGTTCTCCCGTCACCCCGCTGACTGAGGTACACAGGATGTTCGCTTTCTTTCCGCCTCAGGGAAAGACTTGAGTACTCGTGACCTAGTTTCACTGTGGAGTGTAGAGCGCCGATGAAAGGATGAATGTAGAACGAACGAGTGGGGAGTGAAGGAAAAACAGACCCCCCCCCCCCCCCACGGTGTACAGGATCAAGCAGAGGATCCAGTCTAAATGAATTGAAAAGCTCTTTTTGGCTGACGGTGACATGCTGGAAGTGGAGGGGACGCCGTGTCTGTCCAGTGAAAACGTCCTCCAAACACCCCTTGTGGCATGCGAATGTGTTGTGTGTGTTGAGGGACATGAATGCAATGGGATTATTAACAGAGCGCACATGTGGATGAACTCCAACAATAAAGATTCTTAGATTGCACACTAATTGCACGTCGTAGCCTAAATCCTTTTTTGTAATTTGATTTTGGGGCCCATTTTAATATGCGCTTCCATTCCTGATCCCTCTCATAAACACAATTCATCTCCTCCTTTTTTTTTTAATGTCACGCTCTACCTCTCAGGCTCCCACGCATCTCCATGCACAGGAGTACCAGCAATAGTGTCTGATGCAACACGTGCAGAATACCAGCCAGAGGAAATGCTCCTTGAGATGAATCCTCTTGCACTGCGACCTCCTTGACATCGAGTTGAGGAGTTTAGTTTTCAAGTCTCCCTCATTCCGCAGTGTTCATTTGTGTTTATTTGGTGTAACTTGTATCTTTTCAAGTCACTCAAACAAATCGATAATGTAACTCTGTTCCCGTTTTTCGGGATGTAGATTTGAGGATATTGATGAGCGGCTGCCTCTTTCTTTCTGCAGCTACTGGGACATGGCGTACGACGGTGATGTCATGGACAACCGGGTGGGCCTGAATTTGCTGTACGCCCAAGTAAGCGGTTGTTACTACGATTTGTAGGGTTAATTTTTTTTATTTAAAAAATTAAACAAATTAGATGTGATTCACGTTTGTGTAAATCTTGCATCTGCTGTGTTTTTATTGAGCTTCCCGGGTGCCGGCTCCTAATCTGATTGTGATCTTGAGTCGGCTTGTTTTGACTTTGCCACAACCTGCTCTGTGATTTCTCCCTCGTGCACTGAAGGCACCACAGGAACCTGCATTGCTTTGTGCATCTGTGCAGAGAGATGAACTCTGGTTCTTGTTTTATTTTTTCATTTTTTGCTTCACCAGACGGTGTCGGACGTCGAGCGAGGCTGGATTCTCGTCAACAAAGACCAGCACAGGCAGCTCAAGTCTCTGCAGGAGAAGGGCTCCAAGAAAGAGGTAAGCGAAGGGCATTTATTCCAGAGGAGTCCAGCCGATACTCTGAAATGTCTTTAGAGCGCGGAGATTACTGCCTCTAATGCATTCTGTGACGCCATTAGCCTGTGACGACATTAGCCCCGGACATGAATTTTTAATCGCGCAGAGAATTCAGTTATTAGATCCGGTGGTCAAGAGAATTTCCCCAAAATGTTGGTGATCTGACTTCAGTAATTCCTCTCCCGCCAGTTCATCCATCTGGGTCAGACGCTCAAATATTACGGCTACATCAAGTTCGACCCCTGCGTCACCGACTTCCCCGAGAAGGGCTGCCAAGTCATCGTCAGCGCCGGCAGCAACGAGCTCAACTTCCACGTCAAGCTGCCCAGTGAGCAGATGAAGGAGGGAAGCTTCAAGGTCACGCGCATGCGCTGCTGGCGAGTCACGTCCTGCGTAAGTAAGGCGCGCGCGCGACGCACCGGGGATGAGCCACTCGTGCGTCTCCGAAGCTGTGAAAAATAATCAAATTGGAATCGCTCTCCGAATTGGAGGGGAGACGGCGAGCTGGCAGAAGAGACGCGCGGCCGCTTTTGGCAGCCGCGTTCCTTCTGGAACCGACAAGGGCAACAAAGACAAAAAGAAAGCTCCTCCCACCGCTGCGCCTGTAACAAATGTCTTTTTAAGAGTTGCCAAGCATCGGTTTGCTCTGTTGAAGTGCCGCCGTCCACAGCGTTCATCTTCATCCCTCCCAATCACCCAGGCGCTCAGCCCACACAAGGATGGCGCTCTATTGATCCTCACGTACGCCGCAGCATCCTTTGTTATTAGGGCTGACAATGGCGCGGTGGCTGGAAGGGAATGTGATGCATGCATCCGTTCAGTGCAGCAAACGGCACGAGAACCTTCTCATGAAGAAAAGAGCAGAGGTGCAGTTTTACTCCACGACGCTGTAACTCTGCCGTCTGGTAATCGCATTGATTGGTAAACAGGAGGCTCGGCAGATGTGGACGCCGGCCGATCGAACGGCTGCACATCTCGGGTTTGATTTGCGCTAATTATTAATCAATGCGGCGCGTTGTGCCGTCAGGGGAACAGACATTTCTGACGTTTGAGGCCGAAGGGGCGGTGAGTCAGTCGGCCGGGAGTTTAAAGTAAATTTGAAACGGATGGAAGAGCAACCGCTTGTGCAATAGCGATAACATGGATCGGTTTACTTGGTGTATGGAGCACTTGCCTCTAGTCGCAGCTGGATTCCTGCGCGAACAAGGGGTTAAGATAACACAGGCGCACCCTGTCCCGCATCAAGTGACAGGTTTGTCTGAATAACAGTGGCGTTGCCGTAGAGGTGATGTGGAGGAACGAGGTCATTCATAAGTCAAGTCTCACTGAGAGAAGAAGGCTCCTCTGGATGGAGACGTCTTTGCGCTTCTCCCGACTGGCTCTGCTAAGAATGTGATGGACAGATGGTTCATCCAATCACTGCCAAGTATTTTGTTGTAGGTGCCTTCCTTTTCCGTGTAGTTTCTAATGACTGCTTGTTCCGTGTAACAAACCACCTGGCGCGTCGGTACTACCCGAGCCGGTAAGAAGTGTTTTCATGACGCCGTCTGTGGTCCTGTGGCAGGAAATAACTCGTGTCATCGGGGAATCTCCGCTTGAGTTTGAAACGCTCATTATATCTGACATGTTCAGATATAAATATGGAAGTGGGGCAGAACACTGTTCACTTGTGCGTCGCCCTTCAAAAAGGAAAACGCATCTCCGCTCGTGTGATTACGGGCTGAGCCCCCGCGCCGTCCAGGAGGCCGGTTAATTCCTGCCCTCGGGGGGGTCAAAGTCATTTTAATGAGCCCCTTCCTTTCTCAACAAAGTGCTCAAAACATCTCATTTGTTGCGGTGTATTTGCGCATACTTTCTTTGCCCCAGTGTTGATCTTTCACTCTGTGTCTTGTTACGATTTGGCTGCCGGTCGTCGAGTGACGCTGTAGCTTAAGAATGGCAGCTTCAAAAGAAGAGACGTACCGTTGGGTAAGAAATGTGATTTAAGCTGCTTACGTGACACTTTTTTCAGTCGCGGAGCAGAACGCCGAGCTTATCCGTCCACTTAAGAACGGAAGCAGGAACGTTGGTGAGGAAATCCGTTTCAGGTCCATTCACTTTAAACACCAGAAGGCGTATTTTAAAAACCCTCATGCTCGTTGATGACCGTTGTATTTTCGTGGATCACGAGAGTGACTATACGACCCCCTTTGACCTTGCAGCAAGTCCCGACAGCCAACGGCACCACCAATCCCTGCAGCGCGTCCAAATGCGAGGTCAAACTGGAGCTGTCCTTCGAGTATCTCATGAGCAAGGACCGCCTGCAGTGGGTCACCATCACCAGTCAGCAGGTAGGAGCCGCCCCAACTACTGCACGCTTATTCAAAATGTCCAAGAAGGATGTGGAGTGAACGTTTGGCTTTTCTACGGTTTAATGTTCAAGACTGCATTGACCCCCGAGTGTTTGATTTCAGGCCATCATGATGAGCATCTGCCTTCAGTCCATGGTGGACGAATTAATGGTGAAGAAGTCAGGCGGCAGCATTAAAAAGGTTTGCGTTAAGAAAACTGGAATAGTCCTACATTTAATTTATTTTTCATTTTTATGGATCAACAAAATTCTAACATTGTATTGTTTGTTTATAATTATATTGTTTGTAATGTTTATATTTAATACATGGCTTTCCCAATTTTTTATGACGTTGTAAACGTACTATGTAGCATCTTTTAACAGTTTCAATATAACTATTTGTTTTTCACTTTGGAGATCTTTGTGTTAATGGGTAACTGGAATGCAGTGCAAGTCAAAGCATTCAGAAATGTGAAGCTTTCCTCCCAGTAACTAAACCCCCCCATACCCCCCCCCACTAGATGCTGAGGAAACGACACAACTCCATCCAGCGCTCAGACAGCCAGCAGGCTGTGAAATCTCCCCCTCTACTGGTGAGCAGCGGGATAACAGGCCCCGGCTCTTAAGGTTTGATTGGGACTTTGGTGTTGATTTTAGGACAAGTGGTCATTGGTTGTCGTTTTATCTGCAGGACTCTCCGGACCCGAACCGGGAACAAATCGTCAAACTCTCAGTGAGTACAGTTTTGACTCAAAAAACAAAATTAGAATAATCCTGCATAATGGAGGTCAGGCATTGTATTCCCAGAACTTTCAACGTCAGATGTCAAGTACACTAATTATACACGTAATTATTCCATTTAGACCAAGCTGGGCTCTGTGTCCCTCCGGGGGATCAGCGCCTCCAACTCGGCAAACGACATCAGCGGGAATGATTTCCATGGCAACTACGCTTTCGAGGGGATTGGGGACGATGACCTGTAACCCCCGATTCGCCCTCCTCCGCCCCTTCTTCATTCCACTGTCAGCGACCAGGACGACAAAGATCGAAAGACCAGCCGAGCGACATTTTTGCAACATTGTAGCTTCCTCCTGGAGAAACCGCTGCCTTAAGAGCTCTCATTTAATCCTTTCTTGATTTCTATTTGTTTCAATCATCATATTCAATGGAAAGTTTCACAGGGATTACTGATCCATAGAGGATACGTGTGAGGTTCCACAATGCTGTTCAATACGTGAAGTCAATTAATATACTAAAAACAAAAAAACAACCCCTGCTAGATCCTGGATTCCTTTTTCCCAACGCGAGAGCTGAATGTTAAGTGAGACCCGGCACTAGTGATGACACAGCAGAACCGGACATGTGACCAGTTCTCGAAATGACCCCCAGAGTCTGTCGAAATGTGTTCAAATTGACCTGTAGACTATTCAGAGCAACCGCCTACTCGTACGGATGGTCGACGTTTGGCTCGGCTGTATACCAAAATGTTTTTATACTGTTGGTGATCCTCCGCGTGTCACTACTACTCGTGTGCCAAGTCCATAAATGTTTTCAGCTCCCGTTTGTCACTCATGCTGCCTTCAGAAATGGTTTGCTGCCTTAACTTTAGCTTGTCATGTAGAGAGACGTTGGGGAGAAGCTGCAGACAAACGGCGGCGGCCGGCGTTCCCTTGAATCTTGCCGAGCTCGGCAGAAGGTTGATTCGGCCGAGCCGCTTGCACTTGCTGAACCATCTTTTTTGCACAGTATTACAGGTGGAGATGAATGTTTGAGTGGAAGCTTGAACATGACTTCAAACATTGAGTGGAGATTATTTTTGTCCAATGGGTCTAAATCCATCGATGATTTTTCTCTTCATTATTTTTAAACAATTTTTTTTAAAGGTTTCTCATGAATGCCAAATTATAGTTTACTAAAGCATTTTGCACAAAATAAACATCAATTATGACAATGTCACTTTTTATATTATGTACATGCAATTAAGTATTCTGAACATTTACTAATATCTTTATCACCAATAGCTTGTTGTAATCACATAGATCAAATGTAATCTAAGCTGTATAGGACGAGTTTAAATGGACTAACGTATCTTTTTGTTTACATAATGTTTAGGGGACTTTATTAGTTTAAATGTAAAGTGTTTACAAATTGTGCATCGGATTTCCTTTTTGTCTCGTTCGCTTTGCGGCGCGCTCACTGCAATCTGAATGTGCGTTGTGCCAATCATCTCGGAGGATTTAGTTGCAACGGGTGCTTCGGCGAAGTGGGCGGATGTGATCTCAATTGCTGGAGTGAAAAAAGTTTTATTAGGAGCAGGCAACAAAAATTAACGTGTCCCTCGGTTTCATTAGACACTTTGTTTTTTCTATATATATATATATATATATTATACTTTTTATTGCCGCATCTAAATGTAAATCGATGGCCACCGATCAGCATCTTTCCCCCTCGCTGGTAGCCAGAACTGTAGAAGGAAATGTCTCCAGCCTCCAGCTGCTTTCACAGTAGATGGATGTGGACACCACGATCCATTTTTATTTCGTATTGTTCCTGTGCACGTACACAAACTGCCAGGACCTGGATTTTAATAAATGTGTAGTTGCCAAATTAAAGTGAATTCTTCATCAGCATAACTTTCCCAGAAACTGTCAAAATGTCTGATTTGTATTGTGTTTTTGATTTTAGTTGAAAGGTTGGTGACGACTGAAATAAACTCAAATTTCGATGATCTGGTTTTCGGTCGTCTGTTGATGCTGCCAGTACAAGAATTAAAATCATGATGGTATTTTGTGTGTAACAATCAGCCTGAGGGAAGCAACTAAACAACCGAATGGTAAAAACAAAAGTCTGCAGGTTGCACTTCCTGTGCACGGCGTCCTTCACGCCAGTCAACCTTGTTCCTTACTAACTAGGCGTTTAAGTTTCCTTTAGCCTTTGTCCTTTTGAGGTCATGAGGATTTAAAGTCGACTCCTTATTTTCACTTCCTCTCTGGACCGGTTTATTGTTGGCACCACAGTAGCCTTTGAACCTTTGTATCCATTATTGAAGCAAATTTTCACTTTAATACAATACAGAAATTCTGACAAACATTGATGCTTTCTGATAAGTTTCTAGATTACTCAAATGGCGAACTCTCCAGCAATGTCTTTATTATTGTCCGGTGCGTCATGAACAAATCGATTTGTTCAGATCCGTCAATAAGCTGCTTGGAGATCCAGTCTGTTGTCTGACATTCAATGAAATGAATTCCATGAGTTTATTTCAAAAGCTTCACTTAAGGCATTAATGAGACACTGCATAAAGACAAAACGGACACTTGGGTTGTCAGTACTGCTCAATTCTCCATTGTGTTGCGGCAAGTTGGCAACCTGAAAAATCTCACTTGCATATAATCATAATTCAAAGAGTATAAACTTAAATCACAGCCCCTAATGTTTTCCCATGGGAACCAAATGACACCAAACATTCAAATTCGATTAAAAAAAAAAATGTTCTTAAAGTATGCACTTCTAGCAGTGTATTACAGCCACACACAAAAATAAAACAATTACACACTCACATGCTTACTAACGTGATGCTTTCAAGTAAAATAAAAAACACGAGAATGGGCCAAATTCACAGTAAACAAATGTATCTGAAGGAACGTGAACATAAAGACCCACAATGAAGTTTGACTGAATGATTTGTAGAAAGTACAAGTTTGAGAAGAATCCTTTGAACAACATGCTCGATTACAATGTGTTACTCCCGAATCGCATAAGAAGCAGCGACCCCCAATGCACAACTTTAAATGCCACTGTGTGTGTTTTTGTGCTTTCACTTTAACCACCAAGTAAAAACTGGAGAGGGCTTTTCAAAATGCTCGTGCATGCAATTTTTTAAAAGAAGTTTCTTTTTTGCAGTCTTCCAAATCACAGATATTATCCTGATCAGACAGAAATGACAATGCAGGTTGAGAGATGAGATGTCACTTAGGTTGGCACAACCTCATGAACCAACATAGACGAGGAAGCGTAACACCATTCCAGTATCATTAAATAGCACTTTGCTAGTAGTTCATACAGTAGCAGACTAATCTGAAGGCATGCCATCACCAGAGCGTGTGCCAAACGCAGCAGAACACGGGTCCTCACAAGAACCCGGACGAGTCAAAGTAACCTCACGGAACCAGCAGGCATCTCACGTGAGGTTAAGTGTGATCATCGGTCACATCCAGGCTATTTCATTAGCTCTTTGGCACAAAACTAAACGATTTAAGCTAAACTTTTGAGACGGATGGCATTGATTTACAAAAATAATAACGCATATTCCCCTTTATTACACAGATAAACTACACAGCGCACCAGTTCAGGCAGAGATGTGTTTGGTAACGTTCCGTCCTCGCGGGAAGAACCGGATATGTGTTCTAACATGAGAGCGGTTCTTTTTTTTTGTCCCGACACAAAAGCAGAGCAGAAAAACAAAAACAAAAATCCACTCCTCCACTTGATCGAAAATATACCTCAACAAAATTGTGCGAGATTCTACAAACAAACAATTAGCAGCCTCTGAAGACACCTGACAACACTGAAAGTCTGACACACACACACGAAACATCGTAAAGGCTCTGTGAGGGAAAAGAACAGAAGTTGCTGGTAGCTTAGTTTTGCTGAGTTTTATATTTCATACAATCTCAAGTTTGTAGCACGAGTGTAGCGTCTGACCCCCGTCCCTGGACATGTACTGCATGTCGACGCCCGGCTCTTTTCTGTGAGCCGCAGCGCCGACCCCCAGGCCCTTCCTCCCTCCCTCCTCGTCATCCTCGTCGTCGTCCTCGTCGCCGCCGCCGCCGCCTCCTCCGCCGCCGGTCATCGGGACCTTCACCCACCCGTCCGTGGCCAGGCCGTGCTTCTTCTGGTGCCTCTTGTAATTGTCCCAGTGGCCGGTCGTGTAGCCGCACTCCTGGCACTTGTACGGCTTCTCCCCGGTGTGCCGCAGCATGTGGCGCTTCAGGTTCATGCTCTGGTTGCAGCTGTAACTGCACACGGCGCACTGGAAGGGCTTGGCGCCCGAGTGCACCCGCTGGTGGCGCTTCAGGTTGGCGAGGTTCCCGCAGGCGTAGTCGCACAGGTGGCACTTGTAGGGCTTCTCGCCCGTGTGCACCCTGTGGTGCCGCTTGAGGTTGTCGAAGTGCGCCGAGGCGTAGTCGCACTGCGGGCACTTGTACGGCTTCTCGCCGCTGTGCGTTTTCATGTGGCGCGCCAGGTGGTTGGGGTAGTGTGTGAGGAAGGGGCAGGCGGCGCAGGTGTACACCTTGTCGCTGCGCTCGCCGGGGCTGTTGGGAGACGACGACGAGTCCTTAGTCAGCATTTCAAGGGTGCACTTGGCGCAAATCTGCGCCGAGGAGCCGTCCTCGTCCTCCAGGACAACGCCACACAGACGGCAGGTGAAGGGGAAGAGCGAAGGGGGGAGAGCGGCGGCGGCTCCCCCTCTCGTCGCTCTGCCGCCGCCGCCGCCACTGTCTGTGGTGTTCAGCATGGGCGGAGGCTGGTGCACAGGAGCAGGGTTGGAGGCTGGTATCGGTGGTGGTGGTGACGACGACGCCCCCTTTAAGCCATCAAAGGCTGATAGGTAGTCATTGTTCTGGGCTCCCAAACTCAGATTGGAATTGGGCCGTGCACCTTCTGAAAGTGGAAAAGAAAAAGGTTTATGTTGTTGCGCAATGACATAAGAGAAAAAGGGACTAATGAATGAATGACGTGATACACACCCTTGGCGGAAGCACACGACACTTCACCGGCTCTCTGCCCAGTCACGTGCCTCTTCAGGCCGTTCTGGCCCCCGGCGGGTCGCGGCGGGACGTCCTGCCGCAGCCCCGCGGAGGGCACGTGCATGCGCTGGTGCCTTTTGAGGTTGCCGAGGGAACTGCAGGCAAAGGCGCAGATGTCACACTTGTAGGGTTTTTCCCCGGTGTGAATGCGCAGGTGTCTCTGCAGGTTCACCAGCTGGGCCGAGGCGTACGCGCACAGCGGGCAGTTGAAGGGCTTCTCGCCGTTGTGCGTCTTCATGTGGCGCTTCACGTGGTTGGCGTAGCGCGACGAGAAGCCGCACAGGTGGCACGTGTGCAGTTTGGCCAGCTTGTCCTCGACCGTCAGCGCCTTGTCGCCCAGCCCGTCGCCCAGCGCTTCACCGTCCAGCTGCAGGTGGGAGCCCGAGCGCATCCCGCCCACGCCTCCGAAAGGCGAACAGAAGTCGGGACTTTTGGCTTCCCGGGAGGCTTTGCAGCACCGCAGGCAGTACGGGCCCACCAGGTCTATGCCCGGCCCCAGGGGTTCGTCGCGGAGCTGTCCGCAGCCCCGGCAGGACAGGTAGGGGGGGAACGCGGGCTCGGACTGAGCGGAGCCGCCCTCGTCCTCCCTCCCGTTGTCGGTTGTGCCGTGCGAGTTGTCCGTTTCACTCTCCATGCTGAGCTGGCTGTAGGCGGGGCTCTGCTCATCACCCAGGGGATACACGGAGAACCCGATCTCAGCAGCTACTTCTGGACCGGGAAGACAGACAAGAAAAGCGCGTTTCCAAACACTCTACACGTTTCCTGATCCGTCCCAACATCACTCTGCATGTGGCGACAGACAAGAGCACATATCCGTCTACACTGCCGTTTATTCACTCTGCAGCATTGAACTGCAACTGTCCCGAGTGGAGAATGGCTTATTTTGTAGTAGACTGTATACAACCCCTCGTAAGGTATCAGAGGAGGAAATAATACACAGAAAAGACAACAAACATGGCCTGTCACACAAAATCACTTCCTCAACAAACATCAGAGACAATCAAGCATCTTTATTACGATCCGCTGAGACGATTTGTATCGCGCCTTCAAATGGGACCAAGCAAGTACCAGAACTATTGCAGATCAAATGATTGGAAATATCCAGGTTTTTGAATAATTGATTTGTCATTAAATGTCTGCGATTATAAGGTGAACTGAACGCACACACCCGACTCGAGCTTTTAACGCATCTCACTGAACGACTCCCAGCCGGATTAGAGAAAGCAGCCAAAGAACGATCCCTTCCAGATAACGCTCCTCCGCTTCCACCACCGAGCAAGACGTCTTCACCACAGACTCTTCATCTCTCCGCAGCAAAACAAAAAGGGAATTTCAGGGAAATCTGTTACTCACTGGAGATTAAAAGCAAAAAAGAAAAAGACCCTTTTCCCAGAGGATCGTACAAAAAGCTTTGGCCGTCTTCTCCTGAAAGCGAACGAGGAGCCAGAAGAGAAGCCGTCCTCCTCCACAGACGCCGAGGCAGAAAGTGAGGAGGGCGAGACTCGACACTGGCCTTTTATCTGCCCCGTGGAAACCCCCTCGTGGATGATTACCGAGCCTGATGGTAATGATGATGACTGTAATGGTGAAGCTGCAGCGGCTGATGATAATGATGATGAGGCTAGATGATGATGATGATGATGGTAGATGATGATGATGAGGGTAGATGTAGATGATGATGATGATGATGATGATGATGATGATGAGGGGGAAATGATAATGGCAGTGGGGTAGTGGGAGCAGAGGCAGCAGCAGATGATGATGATGATGATGATGATGAATAAATGCCCTCCTTTATAATGGTGTCCTTGATGGCAATGGTCCTGTTTTTATGACCCATGTGTAATAATGGAATGGTGTCTCAGCTCCTTTCTCTACTTTACCATTTTTTCTCTGACAGAGTCCTGCTGGGAAAAATGGGCCGTAGTTCCATCTCTCCTCCGGTGGCTCGGAGGAGCCGCGCCGACAAACAAACTGCAAAAAAACCTTTGAGGCCTCTTTGAGGCTCCGATACTTTACTAAAGACGACGCCACTTCCTTTAGCGGTACGATCATTCATTGAGCGTTTCCACGGCGACGGCAGCTCTTACTAGACTTAATGATGCGATCGTCCTTCCAACGGTGGAGCCAAGCGGAATGCGCTATAAGCATCCGGCTGTGTGAAACCCCCGTCACCTTTGTTGTAGCATCAATACGTGGGATGAGATTTTCCGTAAATATATTCATAGGAACACAAGCATGAGGGTGAACACGCAACTGGGAACAGTTCCGAAGCCGTGAGAGGAAAAACGCTCTTTTTTTCAGTCCAAAGGCCGACGAGCTGACATCAACAGCGCACGCCACCTTTTCCAAAATAGAATATTAAATCAATCTAAACATAAACTAATCTATCATGGTCAAAATATGTTTTCTACCATAATTCTTAATGTATTTACATTCCGTAATAATATAACAGTTTTCATGGTTTCTTGTTCTTTGGGTTTGTATCCTTAGGGTTTGAATACACTTATTGTAAGTCGCTTTGGATAAAAGCGTCAGCTAAATGACATGTAACATAATTTAAAAATGTAATGGAAACGTTGGCCTACTTGTACACCGGAAATGATGCAGCAGGTCGTTTCATCCAACCGGCCTCACTGCATCAGCAAAGTATTACGTTTCTACTAATACAAATTGAACATTTCCTACTGCTGCTGCTGCTGCTTCACATTAAGTCGGGTAACTTGAACGTTCTAATATCTCATGAGCTACATTTGACATGGCTTTGATTTTGTTATTGTGTGTCAATAATGTATAAATAGTATTGACGGACTGACTGACTTGTTGAATGAGCGTTTAATTGCCTATCACTGGAGAGTAGCTTTTATTTTGACATCAGTTGTGCGTTGTGCTCGCACTCGGTTGACCGTGTTTTCCAAAGTGGAGGGCGGCTTTACTGCTGCGTGAAACACATGGTTGACTTTTATTGTGAAGGACTCACAGGGACCCGGGTATCGTGTCACAAGTTTAACACTGACTGCAGTCGACCGTTAACTGAACACCTTTGACATTGTTGCATTTTTCTTTTTCTTAAAAGAGACTTTTTTTGCTTGTGGTCTAAAAACTAATATATATATATATATATATATATATATATCTCCACACATACACACAACTGACAAAACAACGGCTCAAGCGCTTGCTGTTTCCAATTACATTATACACGGAGTGCTGCCAAATCAAACACGGACCCAAACCACGGCGCTCAATTGTTTTCTTAAAGAATGCTTTACAAACCTGAGAACTTTTCCAGGCCTAGAATCCTGTGGTCATGATCGGGATCGCCAAACTCAAGGTCTTGTCCTAGAAGGAAGTCTGTGTCTAAGCTGAGGTTTCCTGGAGCTTCAATGGCTACAGCATCTTCAGAATCCACTGCAGTCACGGAAAAGAGCAAACAAACAACAGTTGATTCTATTATCACACATGGGGGACAGTTTCAACCAAATTGGATGTTTATTTTACGGTTATTGGCAAGCTGTTAAAGGCGATGACGTATAAACAGAAAATAATATTTCAGAGAAAAAGTGTCAAATACAAATTGTTGGCAGCGGATTAGGGCTTGACATTAACGTTTTGGGCCCGCGGCAAGTGACCAAATGAGAATGAGTGAAATTTGGGACGAGGGAGTTATAGGCTGTAGACTTCCCTAAAGCTTTGTTTGGATCTCATCAAGCAGCAATGATTTGCTTCTCACTAGCTCGCCAGCATACAAATGCAGGGGTGCATTTAAAAGCAATCAGCCTTGTAATCGGTAATTGGTCTGTATTTCTGCCACCAGGCGATCCGTGCCACATACTGGATAACAGTAAACATCTCACTGATTTACTTTTCCTCTGCTGCAAAGGCAGCATCTTATGCACCCAAAGACAAAAGTGCGTTCCGTTGACGGATGGAGCTCCTTTTGCCGCAGTTACGGCTAACGATGCCTGACATCCTAACTTGGTCTCTCAAGGAATCCAAACAGATATCACACAGCTGTCCCTGTTCACCAGCCCAATCGAAGGGCATCGCGCTCGTCAGGACTCATTAGCAAATCCTCGAGAAACAGCATCCCGGTGACATCTAGCGGTCGCTTCGCTGTTTGACACAATGACGGCAGTACATCAGGTGGGATGGTGCTCTGTGTCAGAGGACCACCGCTAATAAAATCAGACATTAGATGGTGATTTACTAAAGGGGGTGGGGCGTTACTGCAGCACTACTTTTAAGTACATACTAATCAATAATAAGAAATGTGTATCAGAGCTTTTTCCACAGTGGGAGTTTATGGTGTTGACATTGCATATTGGCCACCACTAAAATATAAACCACTGTCCTTTTCTATGCACAACAGAGGTACTAATAACTTAATAACTAACACTAATAACACATTTTCAAACAATTTTAATGTATGCAGAATGTGAAACATTTGAAGTATATAATCAGCAACGTCTGGTGTCCAGATGTGATCGGGCAGAGGACACACGTTTTAATCATTCATCATTCCTTTAACAGAGACCTAACTTGGAAGCCACAGATACCATATGTTGCTTAAATAGAGTTGCCATTTAATTTAGGAAGCTCAGCTATGTATTAACTTTATTAACTCAATGTTAAAAAGATCTTCGGATACCTACACTTGACTGGCTGTGGATTCTGTTGTTTTTTTCTTGGCATCTTCCAGACAGCCGCTCTCTTTTTGGCAACGTCTTCCTGCAGACTTCCAAAACCATCAGCTCATTGTCCTCCGTTTGACAGGTATTCTTCAGTATTTCTACAGATGCAAAACAAAATCAATTTCAAATCAATTAGTGGTTGTTATTTTTTTGGATGAATAGTTTTTAGCCTACAAAATATGAGTTCACCCTCCCATTTAAATTACAGCCCAACACAACGTCCTAAGCCGTAATGTGGCTCTTGTTGCAAATTGTTTTAATCTGACCAGCAGGCCTAAACTCACAAAATGTAATTGAAAAAAACAGCAAAAATGTTCAAACTTAACAAGCTTTGCCGCCCTATGTTTTTTTTTTGCTTAAAAAAAGTGATGCATAATGTGCTTTCTGTTGATCAACGAAATCATTAAAACCACCAACAGCTTTCAAAAAGTACCGATAAATAGAATTACACACGTCAGTTAAAATGCTCCAGAGCTTATTAGTTCACTGAATTGGATGAAGTCTCTCATCGATTCGGTAATAAGACATATAGCGTTACGTACAGATATGTGGCTGAAAAACAACATGGTAATTTCACAGTAACATCTGTAGATCATCTAGCTCCTTCACACCGGTTAAACAAAATATACAAACCACAACTGTAAATGGTAAGAAAACATGAAGCCAGTCACCAACACAAGTGTCATGAGTCTGACTGCAGTGTATCTGGGTATCATTTTTCAGCAAACTCATCACGTCCAAATGAAGCTACAGTTGAAGAACACAGTGCACTTAACAAACCAACAAGGCAGGACACAGATACGCTACGGTCATCTTCACACTACCAACAAACAACCAAAAATCCACCATTAAGTGTAGCTAGCTTATCGGGCTACTCGTGCAAAATGGAGCTAACACGTTAGCTCTGGTGCAGCAGCCCGACAGGGAGCGATCAAGCGAATCGGCTAGCACTTTAAAACTGAAAGATGTCTTCATGTAGCAGACGGCTAACGGATGTGGCCTCTGTACATCACGAAATGTCAAGATTTTTGGAGGGTTAAAAACTGACGGTGTGCCACCTCACGAGTGGCGGAACGAAACGCGCCCCGGTCAGCACTACGTGCTGATTGACATGTCGACATTAGCCGCGGCTCAACGCGTTAACCTATAGCGAAAATAGCCGAGCAGCTAAATGTCAACTTCCCTAGTTAGCTACCAAGCTAACTTACCTAAAAAACGTAAATATTCCTGTCGATTGAGGTGGTCGTTGTCGTCGGAATACACGCCATTAGGTGAGAAAGGTGTTTCCTCAAGTGTACAACGTCTGGAGGTCCGCCATTTCTTCATGAGCTGGGGCGACAAAGAAAGGCAATTAATGGTATTTTTCATAACTTAATTGATTTTCTGATGCGCTTGTGATCTAGCATCAGCAGCAACAACAATAGAGCTTCCGGCTTGAACCCTTCAGAATAAAAGAAACATCCACGCTAACAGCAATGTAAAAGTTAAAATAAAACATTAACATATTATAGAGTTAATACTTGATGTGCGTAATATTGTTGATATTCTGTCATTTAATATGTACATGAGATAAAAGGGAAATACAACTTGCAATTCCAACGTTATACTATAAGGAGGTGATTTTATTATACGTGATTGTATTTGCTTTATTTCTAGTGTTACAGAAGAGCCTTGTAACCAATGTGCTATAAACAGAACCACAAATTGTTTTGCTTACTTGTTCCATCCTCATATGTTTGCATGTTGTCCAAATTCTGTCATGCCGTTGGATAATATAGATATTACAATCCCAGTACTTTAGAATTTATTTTAAGCGCACCGCTTTTATCGTGAAGGCCCGCCGCGCGTACCGGAAATGTCATTGTTGCTGGTGGGATTTGTCTTGATTCCATTGTGTTGCATCTCCCTCTCTGTTGTCAAAGGCGTTTCCGTTTCCGAAAACAATTTCCGGTTTCTACTCCTCATGGAAAATATTGATGTTGTAGTTTGTATCTATAACATCTAAATTATCATCATCTGGACTTATTGAGTCACAAGTGTCAGTTATTCAGACAGCTAATCGTATAAGTCCAAAAGAAATCCAGTCATTTACATTCTTTGGAAAATAAGTGGACTAGTAGGAAGTGTAAACATGTCTCACAAACAAGTGTAGCACCATTGTCCCTCAAAATGTCTAATGTGTCCAACGAGTCCAATGCTGACATAATTTTACTTCTGCCATATTAAGTCATTGTCTGAACTTCACAAAATAATTGAAAGTTATAATGAGAAAGCCCCACTGCAAAGATTATCTTCCATCCGAGGTGAATTTAAATTAAATTCACTACAATAAGTCCCATTCCAGCAAATAAATATCAATGATATAGTTGAGTTGTACTGTAAGTTATAGGGAACATATAAAATACTATATGCACTCCCTATTCAGGGAATTTACACAGCGACGAACCGATAATATGTCCTAAATATGTATTTGGGATTTTGCCAATATAAAACAACGTGTTGGATGACCTGGCACCTTTTTAAATGCATGTACTTGTTTTTTAACAATCGGAGCCCAGAGCCTCAGAAGGGCCAAGACATGTTCGTGTGCGTGTGTTATTGTGGTGAAAACCACTGTGTTTCTTTTCATGGGACTGTGGTTTTATGCACAGAAGCTCCTGTGATTCTGCGTCATCCCATTGGCTCAAGTCACTGCAGTGCGCCTCCCCTCAGGCCGCCGCACAGCACGGCTCAGGAGGGGGGGTGAGGGGCTTCTCCTCTTCTCGGTTCTCTCCCGCATAGTACCGGACCACCGGATCATTGCACCGAGCCGGTGTGCAGCTTTTGACGGCCGGATGTATGTTTAGTGTGCGGCAGTGAAGAGGAGGAGGAGGAGGAGACCGGGGACGTTTCTGTGCTCCTGTTTGGTCCTCGAGGGGAGGAGCCAGTTGTTGATTCCACGCTGCGAAGAGAAGGCGCCGCACTGAGGGGTAAGATATCCTTTTTACGTAATAGACAACGTTGCGTGTTTCATCTGCAGACTTTGAAAACGCGCATTTAGACGCCTTAATATTCGCTGTTGCTCGTCTTTATGCGGGATATCTGGAGGTGGAGGTGAATGCGATTACGTAGTCTATTAAACATGCCACTCCCTGCAATAGCATACTGATGCCCTGCATGGACCCCTATGAAATGATTAAAAAGCAAAGTATCAACTTGTGTATTTAAAAAAAATACATGTTGAGGTTATGCAAGGCTGCCTTTGATCAGTGTGCAGTTATGACTAAGCTCCCTTTAGTTTACAATTCCATCCCCAATGAATGGCCTGTTATGTATTATTGTCATATTTGGTCAAATACCACTTCTCTAATTTAATCTGTGGAGTAAAATCATATATCTGTGAGTTGCAATACACTACAAACACACACAGCAGTGTTATGCAATCCCACATCAATAGCGACTATTTTAATGCCATGTAAAAACTCCGATCCTATATATTGTGCATTTTTAACAACATGAAAGTAGCCGGCAGGCTGCCAGAGGTCTGTTCAGCGCCACATGGTGCAGAGACTGAACGTTTTGGTCAGGGATGCCGTGAAGTGCAGGAGAGAGAGAGAGAGAGAGAGTGTGTGTGTGTGTGTGTGTGTGTGTGTGTGTGTGTGTGTGTGTGTGTGTGTGGGCAGACTGAGGTCACTCTGATCCCTCTTAAACCCGCATTGCTGATGTGGGTTTGTGTCCAGGGAAGATAATGAGATATTTGATAAGGTGTATCATCGGATTTCCCTCCGCTACGGCAGATCTCTACATCCGTCCTCTGGTCAGCGATTGCATAGCAAGACGTTGTTAACAAGCGTCCTCGCAAAAACGCCTAAAATCTGTGGGGAAAACACGGCTGTGATGACAACACTGATATAAAGGACAAACTACTGACAGAAAACTGGCCCCTTTTTCGTGCCTGTTTGGCTTTTCAAAGGGGCGGATGCTCCAGGGCAGATGTTGGTTGTGTAATAATCCTATTTGACCATTATGATGTCATTAATAGGAAGAGTGCCACAATAAACTGACCTATAGACATTAATTTGTGAAATCAGACGGGCTAAATCGACCCAAATAAAACTTTCACATGCACTGCTGTGCATTTTGTACAGACTTATCGCAGAAAATTAACTACTCCAACCATTAACCAACCATTAAGTATTGTGCATCCTTGCCTTCCAGTTCCCATAATGCTTCAAATAGTATAATTTAATCTGAATCTGACACCTTGGCCGATTCTCAGGACCACTTTAGAGACCATTTTCTGTAAAAACTGTCCAAGCTTACACTGAGATAACCCTGATGACATCATCAGGGGGAAGCCGTTATTTATGTGTAAGATTAGTAGAATCCCCCCCCATTCAAACGTTTTTACCACGTTACATTTTCTGTAGGAATGTGTTTTGAATTGGTGTGAATCTGCACGTTGAATCATGTCAACAAGACTGCAGCCGCTGCAACAAGATTGTACACTAAGCAACGATTCCCCGGTGGTGCCATCGGGCCGAGGGATCGGTTTTCTGTTTGAAATAAATAAAAAATGAGAGTTTGCCGCTGTGAATTAAGAGTGAGACGCGTGGCAAAAAGCTTCAGTTAATGGGAGCCAGCGTAGCTACGAGTGTGGATAGTGTTGGTAGCGCTGTAAAGTGCTTCCGCAGGTCACAGGGTCAAACAGCCGCCTCGCGGACGTCCTCTTGAGTTGGACAGTAGAGATCCACATCCTGGAAACACACCTCTCCTCACTGTCCTCACACTGTGGAGACAAACATGAGACGGATGGTGTGACAAAGTTTTTTTTACAAAACAGTCTGATGCAGTAAAACTGCACAGAAAGATGTGAGAGGCCTTTCTTCAGAGTATTATTTCTTTATCTCCTCCTGTGGGAAACACTGGGACTCTTGTCATTGCTCAGACAGACGGGAGGGTCAAAACATTTTCTTCTAACGCTTCCTTGATAAATATTTCTTTAAAAATGTATGAAAATGGATCGCTGCTCCACTGTCTGGCATTTTTTATACACATACTCCAAACATTTGGAAGTTCATTGTCCACAAAAGTGTTGTGACCGACCTGTTGTATCTTCAGTTTCTACTTACATCCGTTTGTTTTATAGCCACTGGTCATGGAATGCAAACATTTCATCAGCAAGGAGCTTTTTCTTCTGTCATTTCCCTCCGACGATCCACATAAAGTGTGCAGATGTGAAATTATTCTCTGCACAGATTGTGAACGAGACAAATGGAGGTGAACGAACATGATGTGTGTTCAGTGGAAAGTTTGGTCAGATAAAAACAAATAAAAGAAAACATTTTGGCTTTATTTTGGCAAACTTACTGTCTCAAACTGACTCGTTGTAATGGTCATGACCCAAAGATAGTCCGACTTGTGTTTCTAACTGGAGCTGAGTGTCTGCCCGGAACAATTTAGATGTTATCCTTTCAATTCTTGCAGAATCTGCCGGCCATTTATGGACCAGATGAGGGTCAGATTTCATCCTTTGGTGCCCAAAACTAACAAAACTCAACACAACAGATAGATACAATGTTTGTATAACGCCAGTTACACATTTTTGTTTCATCTGAAATCTAAATGGATTTCTGTACAAAGTCCCTCATTGTTTTTATTTCTGTGTGAGGCAATATTATCATTTAGGTTATAAGATATTTGACTTCTTGTTGATATAATGTTTCATAGGAACAGCATGTATGAAGTCACTGTCAGTGAGGTTTATGCAAAACAAACATTTCTGACGGGAAACTTTCCCTCAAGGTGACAACTTGTCTGAGTTTAGGCTGCAAATAGTTCATTATTTGTCTATCAGTCTTTTTGGTGTTGAGTGATAAGCCGTGAATTCAGAAAACATTGATGTATGTATGTATGTATGTACTCCTGCATCTGCGGGTAAGCCTGTGTGTGTTTGAGCGAGTTATGCTGCACACTGTTTGTGCATTGCATGCAAAATTGAGCTCCCTTTGAATGTGTTATGTGTGTGCTTGTGATATCTACATATGTGGGAATTATGTCTATAAATAGATAAGCAGCACAAAGGTGTGTTCATCTCCTGTGAGGTCGCTGCTTTGGAACCTGTACTTGGCTTTCTTGCAGTCACGGTCCAGTTGGTCCTTGTGCAATACGGATGTCCGGGAAATTCAGGTGGTCACGCAACTCAGCTGCTGGGAATCCCACGCAGAAAAGCTACATGTGGTGAAAATGAAATATGTAAACGCCTGCCTGATTTTCATGACAAAAATATATCTGAATATATATATATATATATATATATATATATATATATATATATATATATCCAGGAATCCATGTCTCAATTCAAGAAGGTTAAAACCTTCTGTCCACTCAACCATATTTTAATTTTTCCAACAACCTAAAAACATTTTGTACGATGAACTGTTATCTCTCTAGTTCATATATATATATATATATATATATATATAAAAACTTATTTGGATGAGTTGAGTGGACAGAAGGTTTGTAACCTCTTGAATTGAGACATGGATTCCTGTGTTAAGCAGATCAGCTTTTATAATTCAATCAATTCAGGATCAGGACACTATCCCAGGAACTCGTACTGTTAAGGTGTAAACAAAGTGTTCTCTTCCATCCCCTTCAATCATGGATGACAATGCTCTCTCTCTCTCTCTCTCTCTCTCTCTCTCTCTCTCTCTCTCTCTCTCTCTCTCTCTCTCTCTCTCTCTGTGTGATGTGGAAGTGACCACTGGGAGTTGATTCAGCGCCACAGATTGACCAGAGCCTCTATAAATCGAAGCCAAAGGAAGAATCCTGTTATTTGTCAGCGCAGGGAGCGGTTTGTAAGAGTTGTACGGAAGCTGTAACTGCGACTTTCTTATTGTTTCGTCTCCGTCTTGTGTGAAACAGAAAACGTTGAATGTGTTGAGCCAGCTCATATTCCCGTAGTTGTCTGGAAGACGACCGGGACTAAAGATGTAGTATGGTATTTGGCACTCTGAGCCTTCTGTTAATTCATTCAGAAAAGCAGTTCATACATTTTAAAGGTATTTCCTAGAAGTTTTGCTTGGTGAGGTACAGTATTCCCCAGTAGAGCCACAGTGTAAAAACAGCTTGCATTTAAAAATATCAACAATAATCAGCAGTTTTATGTTGCCAACTTTTCAAAGTTGCAAGAAGGTCTATTGTTACCTCGCCGTATGTAATGATGTGCTGCTACAAGAAGAGCCTCACGGGTCTTCTTGTATCCACACGACTAGAATATAAATACTATCGCGACCCTCCTTCTGTGTGCGAGGTGGCAGGTTGGGTACTGCAGTGTTACATAAATCCACCTCCTTTGTTTATCCCTGTTAGAAGAACGGTGAGGCATTTAGCTTGTGTTACCGTGCATACCCTTTTTGAAGTTTTCAAAATAAAAGATTTTATTTTAGATAACGTGCACCAGATATTTAATATTTCATGCCATAATGGAGACGGCTATTTGAACTGGTCTGGGGTTGCACTCGTTGCTCTCTGGGCCTGATGGAGACAGAATGAGTTGTCTGTGCTGTCTATCACTGCCTCTCCGCTGCGTCACCCCGCGCCTCCCCCGATCCGCTCTGTCCAACTCGTCCATCTGCTCTCCGGGTGTCACGGCTGTGACCTTATTGCGCCTTTCTCAGACGGAACGTCGGGCCGGGCCGCAGTGACCCAAACCTTTTTTGTGTCTTATCTGTTCAATTTAGTTTTCTTTTGAAATGGCGCTTAAGTGATTTAAAGAAGAGATCCCGGAGTAAATGGCAGTGCTGCTGTTTGAAAGTGCTTGTTTTTGCACCTTAATTGAAATTTACATTATTGACATTTCTAAATTTAGTTCCCGTTAATGTATCTGTTTAGGTTTTAATTTATTGAGAGACGCTCGCCTCACTCTTTAAAACGGCAGTCTATATTGTATTCATGTGGAGTTGTTTTGCAGTATTTAAATTAAATGAATAATAGCAGTAATTAAATATACTGTAATGAATAATAGCAATGACAAATTTAGCAAATGAAACAGCACAGATTGCGTCACTACGTTCCTCCGTCCTGTTGCTGTTGTTCTGTATAATTGAATTCAGAGTTTGCAGCCAAGGGGAAAAAGTTCATTGATGATATTTATTTTCTACCTGTGACCTTCTAAAATAACGAAATGTGTACTCGTAATCCATTCTCATCGGTTTCACATATATGTCGACAGGCCCGGAATAGATAGTTAATTTCATTACCATTTATTTCTGTATTTCTTGAGTATTCTCAAGAGTTCTCAACATGAAACATTCCCCATGAATTGAGAATTCAGAAAAGATTAAATGTTTGAGTCAGGAAATTAACAATAACCGTGACAGGAATATGTTTTTTTATTTCCTCTCCTATCAATCATCCCGTGACCCACATCCTGACCCCAAGGTCAGTTACTCGTTTACATCAATGCCACAAGATTTGATCAATGTCCAATTCTAGATGTCTCATTAATGTAAAATAGAATGTATTACAATTTGGAAACGTGCAAGTTCACATAAAATATGGTATTTAAACAGTAGTTTGCCAGATAATTCTTTCAAACTCTCGCAGAGCTTTTGATTTCTTTGGCAGCTCTGTTTTTCTTTTCAAATTCAATTCATTTTATTTAGTATAGCCCAAAATCGCAAATGACAAATTTGCCTCAGAGGGCTTTACAGTCTGTACACATGCGACATCCTCTGTCCCGAAACCCTCACATCGGCTTTTCGGGACTCTTTCATATAAAAAGAAAAACCAAATGGCAGAATGCAGATCCCGTCATTTCTGAGCCACTGTCATTTTGTGATGTTTGCTTCCAGGCTAAAGGGGACTGCTCGCGGTGAAGGGGAGACCTAAAACGATGAAGGACGTTCGGCCGGTTGAGGAGTAGCTCAGACTGAGGGAACTGCAGTGGAGGAGGAAGAAGAAGAAGAAGAAGGAAAGAAGGAAGGAAGCCCTAAAAAAAATCACATGACCAAGCCTTGGAAAGGTTCCAAGTTAGTGATGTTCCCCTCGGCCAGGGATTACCTCGTCTCTCTCGCTCTCCCTCCCTCGTACAGCAGAGCAGACGTCCAGCGCCGAGACTCCGAGCCGTGAGAGCTCCCCTGCTGCACACCCACCTGGGTGCACACACAACTCCCACTCTCTCACGCGAACACACACTCACACACACACGCACGGACACACACTTTTGCATCCCGCTCATGGTCGTTGGCCTGTCCTCCTCAGCTGCTGCCACTGCTCTAGTCGTAGACCATGAAGAGGCCCAAGCAGCAGACGGGGCCGCTGAGCTTCCTGAACTTCTTCACCAGGAAGCCCAAGTCGGAGCCAAAGGTCGAGAGGCCGTTGGAGGCGTGGCCCAGGGAGGAGGTGGCCATCACCCTGACCCCGAGCGAGCAACCACGGCAGGTGAGACAGAGCAAGTGATCCTTGTTTTTTTTTTCCTTTAGCTTTCGGCGGACTTGTTGAGTTTTTAAGTCTTCCGTAAAACGTTTGATGCTGGTTGTCATTACAATCCGGTCTGTGCTGGTTTCATTTGTAATGCAGTATTTGCAGTCACACAGACAGAAGTCTGCATTTGGATAGAAATGCACTAATGTGTAAGTTATCCTCAAGGAGGATTTATACATGACGACACCGATTATTTATTCGTTTATATTAAACAATATATATGTTCTCCACTTCTCTCTGACTGTTATGACCCAAATCCATTAGAGTGTTTTTTTTCCACCAACATCATTTTCACTGGAACTGTGAGGACTTTCCATTTGTTTTCTGAAGCAGCGGAGGAGCCTCGTATGAGGACACTTTGTACATGTTGAACGTAAGGCAGCAGCTCTGTAATGGTCCACAGGACCTCAGCCTCACAGCAGAAGAGGCTGGAGGCGAAAGAGAAGAAGGAGGAGGTCCGCCACCTGCAGCGGCGGCGGCGGCGGTGGCAGTCGAGGACAATGCCGCCGCAGCTGAGTGCGCCGGCGGGGTCCTCAGCGGTTCCACCGGCGTCCTGTCCGTCTCCTCCTCCAGCCAGGAGCAGCTGTTGGACGAGCACCTGGAGGAGTGCCCACTGTGCCTGCTCAGTCAACCACGTTGCCACTTCCCGCGACTCACCTCCTGCTCCCACCGAACGTGCTCCGACTGCCTCCGCCAGTACCTGCGCATCGAGATATCGGAGAGCCGGGTGGGCATCGCGTGCCCGCAGTGCCCCGAGACGCTGGCGCCGCTGGACGTCCGCGCCATCCTGGACGACCAGGCGCTGCTGGAGCGCTATGAGGAGTACCAGTTGAGGCGTTACCTGGCTGCTGATCCAGATACGCGCTGGTGCCCCGCGCCCGACTGCAGGTGAGAATCCAAAGAACCACGGTTGGTTGCACAAAATGTTCCCCTTCACCGTTGAATATAGTTAGAAGATAGTTACCTAGCAACATTGAGGGATGGGGTTTCAATAATGAAAACATTGGCTTCTCTAAATTGTCTAAACTTTAAAAAATGTCTGAAATCTTTTTTTATTGACATATTCTGTCACCCAGTAGCAATTTGCTGTACTGTAATTACCTTGAGACAAAAGAGAGAAGCCTATTTCAGTGTTTGAAAATTGCAGCTCTTGTCATCCCACCACCGGCTTTATGATGTAAAATGTAAGACTTGGAGCAGTTTTTCACTGTTGGAATGATTGATGGAGCTTTGAAAAGAAGTGTCAGACACAGAAGCTTAGTTTGAGCTGTATTATGCGTCCCAAAGCTGTGAAAAGTTTGATGCAACCCAAAAAATATTTAGCGGATCCTGAAAGGAGAGCCGACTGGTCTGGAATGATGAAGCAAACTTCTCTCCATTTTGTTTCTACAACAACCAATATGAGCTACATAAAGTAACGCCGAATAAATGTTGCATATATTTAGGAAGAACTTGCCTTCAATTCACAACGACACTTTCCTTGATATATGGTCAAAAATTCAAAAATACAGATACAGTGAAATTCTACTGCAATACACTGAATCAATATATATATAAAAAAAATAATATACGTACATACATACACATATACTTCTTCCATTCCCACAACAGACCACAATGCAACGCAACCGCAAGACGTGTTGTGAGGGTAACTCATCTTCTCTGCTGTTGTTAGCTAAATGTGCAGACATTGATCCATTGAGCTCCTTTATGTCCATGGAAGGGTAACAGGATAGGGCTGCTGATGGGAAATTATAATGTGTGTGTGAATATGCTCAGTGAATATTTGTGGTCAAAAGCATGTATGCTCCAGGGTTCAGGACTCGGTGGTAGACTCTCTGACGGCCAGAGCACACCGCCTGGAAGATCAATACTCCTGAAATATAAAATAAAATATAACGAAGAGAAACGGGATCGGATTTCTAGAGGCTTTTTCTTCAAAGTAAGAGCTCCACGTATGAAAAACATTTGGATGTCAGTGTAGTTTTATCTTTGAAATGACAAATACTTCCCATAGAGCAGCATTTGAAGATGTGGCCCATTAGGTAAACTGGTCACAGTTATGGTTTGTGTATTCCCATTCCTCCCAACATACACACATTCCTAAAGATCTTAGTGACAGAAGCTTAGCTGGAGATTATTTCCGCACTGAGGAAGTGTGGAAAAAAAGTGTTTTCTACAGAAACCGCAGTAGAACATAATGTTCTAGAAATGCCCTAAAATGAAAAACAGTTAATACAGCGCAGTCAGAATAGTTAATAGGGGTGGAGTTTTAATGACTAATTTGAGGACGTGTTTTCCAAAAGGTTTTCATCCATCTAAAAGAGATTATGGGCAATATGATTTATAATATGATAATACGTTTGGTCAGAACCTCATATTAAGACGTCTAACAAACCCACGGCAGTAATATGATGCATTATTTGATAAAGATGTTCACAGATACCTGGAAGTGTTTTAATACATGAGCTGGTCCACCCAAGCTTTTTAAATCAGCCTTAAGGATTGTACCTGAAAATCCAGTATAAAACCAGTCCGACTCTGAAGTGGCGCGCAGGCAGCGGCGTAATTATCCCGTATTATATGTGTTTGTGCCCCTCAGCTTGTCTGACTCATCGTCCTTCGCATGCCAGAGAGGCCAAAGTGAAGAGCCTAAAGGAGCTTCTCAACTCCTTCACTCACGGCTGCTTTTACGCGGATCTGATCGTTTAATCGCGTGATCTTTTGAACATTAAAATGTATGTTCATTCCCCTTCTGAGGAGTGAGATTCGGTCCACGGGCATCGAGCTCCTTGTTTTAGCGTCGCGATGACTTCTAGAGATCTAGGGATGGAATTATCGCCGGTTCAGGAGCTGAGCGGGGAAAAGCAAGTCCCTCAGACACGTGTATCTCTCACAGCCGGTGAGAAGTCAGGACAGCAGGCTGGGACAGTGAGGTGTCCTCTTTTTTTTTTTTTTTACTAACAATCCCTCACAAGCAAAGAGTTCCCCTCTTGGGCCGTATCATCTATGTCCCCCCCCCCGCTTTCTCCTCAGCTACGCAGTGATCGCTTACGGCTGCGCAGAGTGTCCCAAGCTGAGCTGTGGCCGCGAGGGATGCGACACGGAGTTCTGCTACCACTGTCGCCAGCTCTGGCACCCCAACCAGACGTGCGACCAGGCCCGGCGCCAGCGAGCCCGCCACACCTCCGGCGGCACCGACGCCTCCACGCTCTACGTCTTCAATGAAGAACCTGGAGGAGGTGAGAACTGGCAGCTGGTGTAACCTTTTTCGCGGGATGGATAACGTAATACCGTCGACACCCCCCCCCCCCCCCTCACGTATTCCCTCTGCTGCTGAAGATGCAGAGGAGATCAAAGCGTGCCCTCGCTGCGGCGCCTACATCATGAAGACCAACGACGGCAGCTGTAACCGCATGAACTGCACTGTGTGTGCCTGCCAGTTCTGCTGGCTGTGTATGCAGGAGATCACCGACGTGCACTACCTCAGGTACTAGTGAGCACATTAAGCTGCGGCGTGTGGTTGGTCAAAAGATATTATTTGAAGATATTGGGCATTTTTTCCACTTTTTTTTACCAAACAAAAGCGCGAGGAGAGAAAATCCTCTGCGGCGAAAGTGACTTCAGCGTGTGCAAGTTAAGGAAGAGCTTCACTACAACGAGAACACCTGAGTTTATAAAACACCACATCTGTATCATTATAAGCAATATCCAGTCTGAGATTTTTTTTAAATAAATAAATAAACTGGCCCGGTCAGCTCGGCCTGTCCATTTATGTCATTGTCTCTGCACCGCTTTAAGCTCATCGTCTGAGCTTCCATTGATTTTTCCACTCCTGGAAGAGAGTCACTGCTGACTGGTCATCAATAAATCAGCTCTATCTGCCTCCATATTTCCATGCGGCAGAATATCGCAACTTAGGCTTTGAGGCCAGCTAGAAGCTGATTAGCTAAATCTGAAGAAGAGTGTGGCTTTTTGATGCATCCATCATTTTCATGGTGTTACACGTACATGTTTTGATGTCACATGAGAAGGAGACTTTATTGTGTTTGTCTGCATGAGCCTCATCGTGTCTCAACACCTTTCTTCTTTTTTCTCTCCTCATCCGTTTCTGTCCGTCGCACTTTACATAGTACACACCCTAAAGAAGGCCAAAGCTTTTATCATCTGACGCGAACAGACCTGTTAAGAGCAACACAGCGCGACTTTAATACCTTCTCATAATTTCCCCCCACTCAGGCTTTCAGAACCCAAAGTGACATTTACTGCGGTAAAGCACAAGCAGGCTTTTAGAAATAATGTAGTCCTACGGTGCTATTTCTCATATTGCCACTGCTGCCGCGGCACTTGATTAAGACCAAACCACGTTATTTAGTGCTGTACTGCTTTCACTGGCAGTCAGAATTACGGACGCAGTTTGGGTAATGATGTAACGACAACACCGATAAAGACATTTCACGTTGTCGGTACTCTTTTATTGCCCCTGCTTCTTGAGCAAATAATATTTTAAAAGCGTTGTGTTTGTGTGTGAGTTGCGAGGGCACGAATGAACGATGGCACTACGTAAAAGGTCAGGGACGTCATTCGAATTGGGAGCTTGAATATCACAATAATATGCACAATAATCCATCCCATAGTAATCACTCAGAGCCAACGAGGTCAAACTATTGGTGGCGCCATCGATCAATACGGTTCCTCCCCAGCGTGTGTTAAAAATGTCACGGCCATCCATCCCATAGTTATCATGATATTTCAGGCCGGACCAAAACGGAGGACAGAAACAAGTACGTTGCCACCCGGTAATCCATATCGCTTATGTGGCTAAGATGACTATTGTTTTGAATATTTACCATTTTATTTTCTGAAATGTATGCATCATAATAGTTTACACTCCTGCCTGAGTTCCCCTGTTGTCTCTCCTGTGTGTCTCAGCCCCTCAGGATGTACATTTTGGGGTAAGAAGCCGTGGTCTCAGACACGAAAGGTCCTTTGGCAGGTGGGCATGCTGCTGGGAGCCCCGGTGGTCATCTCCCTCATAGCGGGCATCGCCATCCCGGTCATCATCGTGGGCATACCAATCTACATGGGCCGCAAGGTACAACACAGCCAGTAAACCCTGTTTAATCCTGGATGTGCTTCCCGCAAGGACCGCAAACGTGTGGCGGGCCAGTGTGTTTAAAGTGAATTGTTCTGAATCCACCTACGTCTCACGTCAGACACGGCCGTATTTAAATATCATGTTAATTCAGCATCTAACCAACTAATTTATGGAGATTATGGAGTCAGCGGAATTGGAAACTACTAGCACACCTACATGCAACTTAAGCGTGCTCTTAGTAGTCATTCATTGTGTCTTTCTTTGTGTTGGAGCTCTGCAATAGCGCGTGCAAGCCCATGCCGCTGGTTTCCTTTACCCTCATGCATGCTGGGCTGCACGTATTAATGGACATGAATAAGTGACGTGAATATGCGGTTGCAGAGAATGAGAACAGCAAGAATCAGATTAGACTTCCATCATCTAATTTGTGTTCTACTTATTGCCTTCTAGGTCCATGGTCGCTGCAAGAAAAACAATATCTCAGGAAGTAAGCACTACTTGACTGTGGCAAGTGGGGTTATGATGTCAGTGTTTGTGTCACCGGTCATAGCGGCTATCACTGTGGGTAAGGAACAAAACAACAACATGGCCACCTTGCATACTGCACACAGCGAAGGGGGATTAAAGTGTAAAAGGAAAAAAGGAGGTCAAATTACCACCATATGCTAAAACTGAGCAGTTTAGGTCAGACACCAATGAGGAAGCAAGTGTTAACCATTTATTTTATTTGAATGATAAAGCTGGAGTTCAAACTCAAAAAAAATACCCACAAGTTTTTGTATGCAAACATACCTCTTTATTTTATTAACGCACTCCTACAGTGCAAAGTAGGATTTTTTTCCTGGTGACAAAATGTCCTGGTGTAATTGTGCGCGTGCACACACACACTTAAACATTCAGGTTCCTTTCGTTTGTACCCACAGGTAGACTTGTTTTGCAGTAGAGGTCGAGGCATTAATCTTCACGCGCAAGATCAACACAGACAGCAAGACAAACACAATAAAAGTACACAAGACCGCATATCAGTAAATTAAAAAACAAACCTGTATCTCTCCTTGTTTTGGCATCCGTGCCCTTACGCCTCAGTCGCATTTTGTTTTCTCTCTCACATCACTGCAATTGTTGTTTTTTGTTTCTCTTATTTTACTCGGACAGACAGACAGCTCCCTGTCTCGTTGTTTCGGTCTTTTGGCTCAAGCGTAAAAACGCAGCCCCTCTGTGTGTGGGCTTTCTGGTTGGCAGGCTCATTGCTCATTGCCCTGGTTTCACCCCGTTGCTGAGTCACTCGCTACCCGGTGTTCCCTCTGCGCCAGTGATGTCCCTTTGTTTGGTCGGCGCCGCTTTGTGTTATGAAATTCCTCATCTCAATCACCGGTTGCATAATCACACGGCGGAGGGAGGCTGCTGCTCATTGATTCGTGTGGCTTGTTGAAAGTTCTTTTGTGGCGGTCATCGGGTCGGGAGAAATCGAACTCGGGATTTTCCTACAACCAAACAAATATCCTGTTTTTATGTATAAAATGGACTTCATTTAAATCAAGATTTAAATGAAATTTTAAATTTAGATTTAAATCAAATCACATAGGAGGAAAAAACTGATATGAGATTGATAATCGCACAAATCAAACAAAAACAGAGAGGATATATACAGCAAATAAAAATCTAAATTGCATGCCTGGCTTGAACCCAATTGAAAGATAATTAAGAGAGGAAATGGATTCCTGAGAGAAGACATAACTTCCTGCTGCATAAGCAATGGCTCACGTTATTTGAAACAACAGCGGAGCCTCTATACGGAGGCCATGATGCCAAGAAACGATTTATAGATCAGCGTGTTCTGGACACTTTATCTTGCGCTGTGAAAAGAGAAGCAGGGATCCCTCTTGTGTGCATTTGGGGTATTGCAGAAATTGTATCAATTTGAAATGCTGGATTATTTAAGATTGATTATCATGAAAATGCATTTATCAGTCACTATACTATAAAATTAGACTTGGACATTTTTACATCTGCTGCTTTGGTTTTGACCATTTTCTATATTGTGCTTGTAATGCCCAGTTACATTAACAGCCCTGAAGTGCAATACTATGTTTGCATCATATTCAAATGATAAAAGGTGTTTCTCAATGGTTTTCTTCTACTTTTCTATTTCCCTGCAGGTGTGGGTGTGCCACTAATGCTGACTTATGTGTATGGGGTCGTCCCCATGTCGCTCTGTAGGAACGGTTGGTGTCGACCGCAGAGTGAGCCCCCCGAAACACACAAAATCCAACTGGAGGACTTAGCCAGCTGTGAGTACAGAAATGAAAGCAGTTGTTTGTTCATTTGGGGTCATTGGCTTTTGTGCCGATCGATATTTGAGAAAATGGCTACCGCTAAAACCAGGTCACGGCAGTAAACAGTGCTTAGCATGAGGACTGGAACCAGGTTAAAGAAAGTAGCTCCTAGCGTTTGTTGTGTGTGTTGTGGCTCAAACAAACGAGACACAATGTTTCTTAGTATGCTTCAAACGTGCTGGTAGACAGTTTATTTTTTTTACTTTTGGCGGGAAGCAAACCAGCGGTTTCCAGCATTGATGCTTAGCTGAACGAGTCATCTCCTAGATAGAGTTGTTCCTTTTTAAGGATATAATAAGTGAATTGTCATTTTTTTTTCTTCTCCAAAACTCGATCTGATGAAGTTTCAACTTCTCTTATAGATCTTCTATTCTCCCATGTAGTCAGCGACCACTGGACGGGTCAGAACAAATCCACGCCCAGCGACACCAGTGTCCAGGAAGTCCGAGTCAGCGTGCAGGAAGTGGGCGTCCTGCCCAGTACGAGCGCCACGCCCCCTGAGCTGGATAGCTACGAGGAATTGGATGAAGCCACGAAACCCCATGGATACAGCCAATCGGACTGCCAGGTGGTTATTGTGCCTGACGGCGCGCTCAATGACCCACAAGCGACACCTTTGAGGTAAAGTTCTTCTCTCTTTCACCCAATAGCTAAGATGGTGAACTGTCCAGCTGCTTAGCATGTTAGCATTTAACAAATAAAGTACAGATAGATAGATACTTTATTGATTCCTCAAGAGGGAAATGTTGTTATCACAGCAGCATGTACAGGGAAGAATAGAATAAAAAGATACACATTACATACATTATAATAAGATAAAATATATTAAATTATTAAATTAAATTAACTAAACTGAAACAAAAGAATAACCTTCAAAAAAAGACAATAATAATAATTTGTAAAAGGAGAAGAGGAAGAGCAGCAACATCACAGCAGTACAGGGTTGTTATTGTCATTATTTAGCCTGGGATGATTTATTGTAAAGTGTTATTGCACTGTGCAGGAATGATCTCCTGTATCGGTCCTTGTGACAGCGGAGCCGAAGGAGTCTGTTGGAGAACGTGCTCCGCTGTTCCTGTAGCAGGTGGTGGAGGGGGTGGTCAGGATTATCCAATATGGATAACAGTTTCTTCAGTGACCTCCCCTCCACCACCAAGCTGTCCTGTTTGCAGCCAATGATGGAGCCGGCCTTCTTAACAAGTTTGTTAAGTCTGTTGGTGTCACCGGCTCCAATGCTGCTTGAAGACGTTTATGTAATCAGTTGTTGATTTGACTGTTGATGATTATTTGTCTTTCTACTTTCAGGGAAGGGACAAACATTGAGGTCCGTGTGGAAATTGAGACCCATCCCAGAGGCGCCCGGCAGTCCAGCCTCAGTAGCATCCTGTCTAGCCGAAGCTTGTCGGTGGAGTCCCTGGGACACTCGCGGTCCCTGTCCCAAGACTACCTGTGTGCCTCAGAACTGGAGGGAAGACGAGAGGGCGGAGAAGGAGAGGAGCAGGAGGGCAGAGAGAAACCAGGAGGGGACGAAGGGACCGTCCTGCCTGTCTTTGAAATAGAAGGTGTATGAGGTCTTCCAATGCAGGTTTTGTACTTTATGGAAATAAAGAAATCTGTGAGCAGAAATGTCGGTGGATTGAGCTGAAAACCGCTGGCCAAGGTCACCTCCTGCTTCCGAGACAGGCCCTCCCACCAGTTGCCTTCTAGCTCCAGCCTCTGGGGAAGACGCGAGAGAGCAAATTAAAAACCTGTGTTAGTGTGTGTAAGAGACAAACAGCATGAGACTACGAGTTGAGGATTAGAGGGGGACAGACTGGATAGCATCCATCATTCGATCGAAAATGGAAGCGACTGAGAGCACGTTTGTTTTTTTGTTACTATGCTGTCTTTTCTGAAAGAGACTTACAGTACACCCCATCCTTCATGAATCTATTTCATGAGACTCTCTCTTCTGCTAGCTGTACTTCTACACTTTTACTAACCTCACTTCTCCCCTCTCCACATACAAATAAAGAGACACCCACGGGCATGATTTTCTTTCTCATTGATGTCGGCAAGTAGCTGAATATCACATGCTTCCCGGGCCACGTTGCAGGATTTTTTCCTCTAACTTAAGAAATTTAATTGAAATTTAAAGAATTACCTCCAGCATTTTAAGAAGCATTGGTCGCACCTAAAACGGACAACTTTAAACAGACAATGCATGCCGCACTGTTACTCTTTGGAGATGGCAACTGATCTGAGAACTGTCTCTCTGTAAGTGTAATGGAAGTAAAGTGCTCCTTGGCATTATGGCAGATATTGACTGGATGGCTTTTAAATACCATTCATTTTAACTATTGATCTCAAATCCACAGTCTACCTTGGTAGAAGACAGAAGGGCAATGTCTCGTTTACATTTTAGTGCAGCTTTTAGCCTGCGAGAGGCTATTTCCTCTTGAATGTTCTTAAATTTAAATAGTAGCTGCATGATTCTATTAGTCGCGCCGCATCCAGGATCCCACACACATGTTCACATGCGAAGCAGTCAATGTAGTTTCTGAAATGTGCGCTGTTGAGAGCATTAAATATAAACTAAAGACCCTCTCGAATGATCACAGAGCACCAACATTTCGACAGCAGCATGCCACCTCAGGCTAAACTCTGCAAACCCCCACTAGATGATTCATGAGGAACACACAGCTATACAGGCTCTGCTTAGCTTCCTGAGTGTAAAAATACTTGCGAGGGATGAACTCGGACGTGAAATGATAAACTGTGCTGGGTTGTGGAGAGAAACTCAATAAAAGATTTCACCATGAAAAACAGAAACACAATGCATGTTTTGTGTCCATGTTTTTCTTCAGTAGAAGTTCTGGTGGGGAGTTCCCTCGACAATTCATGGGCCGACCATCCAGTTAATTCCCGGAAATGCCACGGATACGGAATGCCAGGAGGGAATTTCTTTCAAATTTGGCACAAAAAGTACATGTGGACTTTGAATTTGTTGTTTTAAGTTATTTTAACTTGTAGGTCAAAGGTCAAGGCCGCTGTGACCTCACTCCTGCCCAATGGCATTTCTCCAAATTTAGCAAACGTTTGTCAAATTTGTCAATTTTGCATAAATATTTAATGGGATAACATGATGAATTTTGGATAAACATGAATGTAAAGTGCAAAGACACTGGTTATACTCTATTGTACATGGTCCTTTTTCAATATTTTTCTGAAGTAAAATGAAAAAAGCAAAGGCTTCAGATATAAAAAAAAAAAAAAAATCTTGTGCAAAGTTCTGCTTCACTCGACTGATAATAATGTTGTGACTCCTGGAATCCACCTTGTGACCCCTTGCAGGGGTCCCGGTCCTTTCAAATGGTTTTTGAACCATTATCTTAAGTTACCGGGGTTCCCATAATATATCTTTTTATCGTTTAAAAAAAGAGAAAAGTGTGAATTTGTCAATAACCTACACCTAGTGGTAATGACATCCCCCAATACTGTCACGCGGGTAACAACCACGCTGTAATAACGGTTTGTAATCCAAAGAGGGCGACAACACACCAAAGAAAACTCAAGCATTTCCTGAAACGTTTGCGTTCCAACATCAACAATTCACACATTCACATAGTTTTAAGCATTTAACATGCGGCCGCGCCTGCAAAATGTTCATAAACCAATGAAATCCTTTTCAGACTACATTATATATATATATATATATATATATATATATATATATATATATATATATATATATATATATATATATATATATATATATATATATATATATTTACTACTACAATGTATCCCATTGTAGTAGTAAACAGCAACAGTACACAGATCATTTCGAGCTCCGCGGGACACGCCCTTAACTTTAGACACGGTGCCGGAGGTGCACGTGCTCGCCCATCAGCTGGCTCTCAGCATCTGTAAGGGCGAAGACAGAGGAGAGGAACTTGCATCACTTAGGCTCCTTCCTCCTTCCTTCTTTTTGCGCATCCTTTCCTACTTTTTGCGCATCCTTTCCTACTTTTGGCGCATCCTCTCCTCCTTACCCTACCCCCTCGGATCCGGATTCGGAGACTGAGGGGAACCCACCTGCCGGAGATCGGACGCACCTCGGGATGGATGCCCTGAAATCCGCCGGCAGAGCGATCATCAAGAGCCCCGGAGTCCCGCGGCACACATGGGGAACTTCCAAGCACGAAAGTGAGTGAGGCGCCGTGTGCGCATCGTAATGTTTGGCTTCTGGTTCCATGTTGTGCACAAAGATCTTGGCGACGCAGCAAAGGCGGTTGGATGGACCAAGAGAGGGTGGAAGAAGGACAACGCGAACCGTTGTGTGTCCGTGCGCGCAGAGCTTTTGTTGGTCTTGTTGTCCTCCGCTGCAGAGCTGCAGGCACCGGGTGGAGGGAGCGGTTCAATTACAGGCTGCAGATCTGTCTGTTTCATTTATTTTATTCGATATTTGTTGGGATCTGGCATTGTGGATGGTCAAGAAATTTGAAAGCAAAGTGACCATTTTTCTCTAAGAAAACAGTAAATGATCAATTCAATAAATCACCGATCAGTTGATAATTAGTTTGATCCTTTGTTGCACTGAAGTTCTAATAATAATAACATTCTGTCTTTAATCCCACAACTCTAATTGCTGAGTTTTAGACTCACCGCATGTTGTTTATTTGTGTGGTTTTAATCACCCAAATAATCAGGCTTTTCACAGAGTCACAATTGTCAAATGTCAAACAACAGCTATTCCAAAGAATCCAGAAAGCGTTGCTGTGCAAGGTGGCAGTGTGAAGTGCGTTGAGTGTTGAGTGAATGGTTACACCAACAAAGCTTCTCTCACCATTGACGGGCCGTCTGCAGCTCTGCTGTCTCCCCGATGTGTGAAGTGATGTCTTGAATGATTCCCCCCCTCCCTGCAGCTACAACACGCGTGAGCTTCTCGCTTCCTTAAATGCGAGCATGCTGTTGATTCCTTTTTCTTTTTTCTTCTTGCCTTATTGTGCAGCTTTAATTAGATCCAACGTACAGGGAGATGTGCTTGGTATCTTTATTCTCTATGTTCTACATGCATTATCCAGTGCTGGGATTTAAAAGTTGTCTCATTGGATTAGGGCTTTAATGAGGCTTTCTCGGTTAAAATTTTGGGAGCGGAATGGACAAAAATTTTTGATTTGGTTTTTGGCCAAAATTTGAGGGAGGGGGGTTTTTAATTTTTTTTCCCTCGACACCACCATATTCTTCATCATTACCATGGGGATGCAATAATGAATAAGGTTGCAAAGAAACCTTCGACACCTGACACTAGAAGACAATGTCAGCGTCACATTATTAGGAGGAGCCTGTGCATTGTGCCCCCCCCCCCCTCTTCTTATTGTTTTCGTCAGACGGAGTGACGGGAGAAAAATACCAAATGATCCGGTTGGCTCCACAATCCAGTTTGCAATTCAGCGCCTGATGACACAAACAGTTTCCACCAGAGGAATCAGGCCTGAGAAATAAAACACAGCACTCACGAACGTCACAGGCGGACAGACAGGCTGACAGGAAGCCGTTTACGGATTCTTTGGAGAGAGGGCCGGATGTTCGTGTGTCCCAGGGTGGGAGAGATGCTTCATATCTCCCTTTCGGAAATCCATGAGGGGCGCATGCCAGACTCCTTGCCTCTTTACCCCAAATGGGTGTGATTAAATTTGTGGGGGGGGTGGGGGGGGGGGGCGGAGAGATTCATTATTTGCATCCTGTCTATGGTTGAGAGGACCGGTCACCTTTGTTTAAATAACCAGGTAATGAGAATATGCAGCTCATCTGTGGATTGCCAAGTTGTTTGACCGGAAAAGGGTGTGGAGACACAATGTACTCGCTAAGACATGTGATTGAATATAAATATCACAATGCATTTGAACTTCCATCAGTTTCTGTTGAAAGTTCACGTGGCAAAGCATCAATGCATGTGCTTCATTTTAAATGACCCCCGTCAAAGTGAGTGCACTTGGTTGAATGATGATGACTTGGGTATTGTATTTCTAGTGGGGCAGAGGCACTCTAAAGTCATGCAGGAGGCTTTTACTAAATATAGTGCCATGAATAATTCTGTTGCCACATGACCTTTCTGCCAGACGCCACTGTGAGGTCAGACTTCGGCGTAACGGATGTGCCTCGAAATCCCCATTTCAGATTTGCATCCCATTAGGTTAATGGACATTTTACATGTCGGTTTAATGTCTGAACGAGCACAGTGTTTTAATGTTAAAGCCACGACAACAATCTGACTCGGTGGGACCATGTGATGCATCCGAAACAGCACAGGACTGAATTAAATGCAGTAAGGTTAACTCAAAGGCTGCAACAGCGGGGTAAAAACTAATATTCAGATCAGCAGCCCCACCCTACAGACTTTCATTCTGCGACTGCATTTAAGGAAATATGAGTATCCAGCAAATGCCTCACAGACATTGTGGTAGCGAATGGATATTAAAGCCTGGGATTAAATAGTCTCACAGCTTTCTCTCTTTTTGTCAGGGTCCTGCAACTGTCTATAAGGATCATTTATGTAACAGCCACATATATCTGAATGACCAAAAACCATCAGTATAACATCTAGGTTTGAAGCCAGCAATAGTATATTGTGTCTGGAGAGGGACGGTTGAAATGTCGCTCTGAAGCACTTTACTGTCACCAGGGACGTGGCATTTCTAAGTGTGCCTTTTAAACCCCCGCGTTCTGCTGTCAGTGTGGAATTCGGACAAACCATCGGCACCTTTTGAGAACCATTGCCTCTGTATGTGCGTGTCATGAGAAACAAGAAGAGCACACAATGGCATAATGGTTACGCTGGCCCAAAAGTTAAACCAGCCACGTGAACAACAAGTGAAAAAACAAATTATATTGTCCCTCCACCTCACTCACATTAAGAGATCATGGACATGCATGAAGCCTTCGGTTCTTCAGCCAACAGGAAACCGACGCGTGCCGCACTTCCCCTTCGCCCCTCGTGGCCTTCTGTTGTCATCTGCTGAGGTCAAAGCCACTGGCAGGAAGGGACGGGGGGAGGGAGGGAGGGGGGGGGTCACGGCATGTGCCCGAAGTACAAGCCTTCTCTTCTGATCACATCATGTAACAGAAGAGCAGACCTTTCTGTATCTCTGGGTACACACACACACACACACACACACACACACACACACACACACACACACACACACACACACACACACACACACACACACACACACATTTGCCCTTGGCACCAAGGAGGTCTGTGCTGTACAGTCAGTTTTTAAAATCGTAGTTTTGACAGACAGAGTGGGAGTAAGGCGGTTTCCTCGGGTCTACGGTTGGTTCTGTCAGTGTTGTAAATATCAAAGCTTCCTCCTGCGTTACAGCTTTATTTCTACTTGGAAAACAAGTAGGTTTCTTCAAGTCCTTGAATACATATTTCAAGTTTTATTGCTGAGAAGAAATTGTCAGAATATGCATTTTCGGTCCAAAGAAAAGAGCTTCATCTGAAATGAGTGGACTCGACTTTGACCGTCTGGAAACCAGCGGCCTTCGGTTGCGTTGCAGCTCGGCAGGGGCCCGACTGAGGGACGTCAGCGGTGTCAGTTAGCGCGGCCCCTCGAGGGGCAATTATCTCTCGGAGGCTCGTTAGGACTCAGTGACTGGTGAGTCAGGAGGCAGAGCAGAAGCGATGGGGAATGGTGGGAACATACACGGCCGTGATGGAGGGAATGTCAGCAGCGCATTAGGAGCGGGAGGGATGAATGTCGGGGGTTTGTGTTGGAGCAAATTACAGCGGATGCCTTTTCTTTTAATGTGATTTTAAAAAGCCAAGGGGAGAGCTCAGTTATTATCTGTTTGTCTCTGGGAGACACACATTTCTCAGGGGGATGCAACCAACAATTACTCGTATTATTCGTTGACCTTGGTTTTGTCCGACCAATGTTCCAAAGCACATTATTCCAGAGACATTTGAGAATCTGTCCACTGTTATTTTCCCAGATAGAAGATTATCTTTAATTCTTTGTCAACTAATCAATCACTCAACTAATTATTCCAGCTCTACTTGCATTAACCACTAAGGATGAAAAATAAGGCTCTGTGCGAGTTTTCACCAAAAGAGAAAAAAAACATTGCTATATAAAAGTTTACAGTGGGATTCATTTGCATGTCTTTGCATTTCCTGAATGCTATGCTTTCGGTGGCTATGTCCTGGATTTATTCGGCATCATGTCTACAGGAAAGGATTTGCATACAGCACATGACCCTTTACAGCAACGTCCTATTTACTGTACAAGCAGAAAATAAACCAACAGCAGAAAAACAAAAGAATAAGAAACGTCCATCAGAGCTTCTACAGTGTTTCCAGTTTAACGGATTCAATCTGTGCTTCAGTGCATCTGGTGATGATTTGAGGGAGCGGACTTCCCACCTATACGCTGCATAATTCATGCCTGCTGCACACTCATCAGTCTCAGACTGAGGATGGATCAGACGGCCGAGGCCTGCTAATGGCTTTCCATGCAGCCGCCTTTGAAATAAAAAATCAATTTAGCAGGTTATCGTTGAGGATTTAAGTTATTTAAACTCATTCTGTATTCGTCACGGTCTTCGGGAGTCATGACTCTGATCGCTCACCATTATCATTAGATAAAGAAGTACTTCTCTCTCTTTCACATGTAAGGCAAAAAGACTCCATTTTATTTAGTTATATGACTAATAGCGGCAATTATTTGGTGTGAGTGCATGACCTTTTTGACTGTCTTTTCTTGGCTTGGAAGAGAACTGCGGGAGCTAAATCCCCCCTCCCTCCCCCTCCTCACCCCACCAGTGTGATTAGTTGGATTATTGTCAAAAGCACAGCTACCTCAGTGACAGTTGAGCCCAGAATTTCTGCTTCCCAGGGGACTATTTTTCCCCCCACTTGGTTTTCACATTTCTGTGAATCTTTGTAGTCTTTCTTCATTAATACCTCTTATGTGTCTGTGACGTTATCGAAAAACATTACGCTCTTCTGCTACCGGAGCAATGTGGGAGTGTCTGCCTTCCTGCAGCTATCACATCCATTCTTTAAACATTCCGTCTGAACATTCCCGTTCCCCCTTAAAGATGAACGTAATAACGCTACTGAGACCCTGACGTCTTATTCCACCATTTTGCTTTTAAATGGAAAATATAGTAATACTCTAAACTAATAAGCATTTCTGCTTAAACTCAACATTAGCATTGCCATTTGGGGTCATAACAGCACACAGATGTTGGCATTGTTGTGCTCAGAATGCTGTTTAACGTGACACTGGGTTGACAAGTTCCTCTACCACACGTGCCTCCTCCTGTTTAAATCCTGCAGCCGCTTAGGGTATTTAAAAAAAATGTAATAATGTCTCATTCTTTTTCTGTCCCGTCTGCGTTTAATCAAAGCTTAGTGGGAGTCCTTCTGAGCTTTATTCCGCAAGTATCACATCTGTATTAATGCCTTAAATCCCCAACGTGCCAAGGGAGAGTCACCTTAATTCTTCCTCGTGGTTTAAGGATGACAGGACGGATCCAACGAGATCATGGATGGATGGATCGTGTGTACTTTGTTTTTTTTCAAAATGTGTATTTTTGTCCTCCACGCTTGTGCCTCTTACATTTGAGGCTGCGAGTAAATTTCCTTCACTGTTGCACTCCACAAATATTGATTTTTAAAAGCCTCGGCCTCATGTTATTAAAAACTGCTCAACATCATATTCGTTATTGATTTTCTGCATGAGACCCTTGAAAGTAGACTTATGGCAAATGTATAAGATGTTGTCAAGGCCCCGAGTGCATATATACATAATATGCTGTTAAAGGTTACGTTTGCTAACTCATCTGTTTTTCTTTTGTAGGGAAGAAAATGTTTCTTTCACGTAACCGGTTTAACATTGACAGCGGTGCGCAACTTTCACTGCTGCAGTCCAAACAGATTAGGAAGCAGCAAGCAACAAGCTCCTTGTTTCAACTCCATCAACACAAACCTGTAAAAATCCGGTGCTTTTTGCTTTATGCAGCTCGTTGTTATTCTGCTCTCTGCAGTCCCTCCAGAGTATTTTCGGCACCAACAAGGTTCACCGGCTTGGAGTAAAGTGAATTATGCAACACACAGAAA